AAGCACTGGTCATGATACAAACCTTGGGAGCTCACAGATGCCCAGGAATATTGCAAATTTTGCAAAAAGAAAATTTGCTCCAAAAAGTTCAAACCACAAAGCCTAAAACACAATTCTGTCACTAAACCCAAGTTTTACATCATCATCACTCTGCAATACTTTGCAAATTTTTCTCTTAAAATGTGAGAGCAATTGTGGACACTGGGAAACCAAGTGTCCTGGCAAGTGCACAGAACAGCAGCTATTTAGGCCAACAGCGAAGAAAAGTAAGAAAAGTTGCCTTGCTGTTTCTATTCAGCTCTTTCACTGATGATTTTCTTAGTGTTTCTCATCTTTCTGCTTTTGCCACTTTACTTCATGGCCAGCACAAGAGCCCCCTTGATGCTCCGGGCCAGGGTCTCCCTGACCACGAGCACCGGCGGCCAGGAGAGGGGCTCTTGACACTTCATTGCAGCTCCTTTCCCGGGTGCTCGCAGTGCTGAGAGCAATGGCATAGGTGTGGGTCCCACTCCTTTTTGTGCAGCAATTATGCAATTATTTAACAAGCAGCAATCACCATGGGACATTCGTCACACAACCCAGCTGTTGAGAAGATCCCTAACGAAGCGCCCTGGCCAAGTCTCTGTGCAGAGGAAGCCCCGTTAAGGGACCTCACTTGCCTCGGGCAGCCACAGCCACAGGACCCGCACCCCAGGGAGGGGAAGGACACGGCGCACGCGCTTGCCCCGGCACACGAGGGCTGCAGGAGCAGCAGTTTCCTCCCTGTCTCTCACTTGCATCACGGCAAATGCACCGTGCGGAGCCCACGTTGTGAGGGGACCATCCCTGGACCTGCTCTAAGGGACAGCAGCACTAAGTGAGGCTGGCCCAGGAGTCAGGGTGACGGCCAAGCTGCAGCCGGGCACCCACGGGCCCCGCAAGGGCTCCCCATGCCATAGGTTACATGGATTAATGGTCTGTGCAAGTTGTATTTAGGGGAACAGCAAGGGCATCTGCTCTCCAGTTCCACCTGCATTTGTCACCTGCAGACCAGGGCTCCCATCCCAGCAGGGGCCAGAGCTCTCACCCAACGCAAGAGCACCCAGGCCATCAGCAGACACCCACACCCCCATCTGCAGCACCTCTCCCTGCAGCAGCCACGGAGCTGCAGGGCATGTTCCAGAAACCAGGAGCAACCCAGAAAAGCTGCCATGCAGCAGCTACGACTGGGCAGACACCCATCTTTCCCTGGCTCACAGAGCTGGGGTGCATTTATCACATCCGCATTCACTCCTCAGCCAAACCGCCCGGGATCAAGCGTGCCCTATACAGCCAGCTTGGTCAGGAGTTTTCTTCTGGCTCTGCTCCCCTCCACATTCATTTCCTTACCACTCCAATAAAAAACCCTCTTGCCAGTTGTAACAAGGAACTTCTCTATATTTGCTTTTCTACTGCAGTTGGCAACCACCTACTTTGCCTAGCCTTATTGTTGGCCCTGCACGTTCCTAATGAAACGGTACCACCTATCCCAGTTACCGGCTTGCAGCACCACGGGGATCTGCTCCGCCAGTGCAGCACCTGGGAGTTACCAGGAACTCCCTTTATTAACCAGGTTACAACCATCACACGCGAGCCCTGTGCGTCGGCACCAGCCTTTGCTTCGCATCAGGCCCAACACGTTTCCCGTGTGAAAACCTGGAGCTAAGAGAACGCCACGCAGGGACAATCCCTCTGCCCTCGCTGCCAGAAGAGCTTTTTACATAACCTGTCTCCGCCCCACTAGTTTCCTATCCTCAAAGGGTTGTAGCTATAAGCAATTTAAGGTCGGTAAAACTTATTCATATCACAGCACGAACTTGTTCAAAATACTACATAGAGAGCTGCTAATAACAACCATAAAATTGTGAAACGAAGATAAACTGTTTGTGTTAGAACTCAATGGCAAACCATTTGGCTAGGTCAAGTTTCACAATGACAAACATCTCTGATGCAAAATGAACTAAGTCATTAGTCCAGAGAGAGAAGATGACTATTCCCCTGGCATTTACCAGAAACTACTGCAGAACTTCAGAAAATCCACATTGCAGCCTGCAAGGCTTACGAAGACCTGTCTGAGCTGCAAAACTCAGAAGAAAACTGTAGTTTAGTGGAAGACCAGGATAGAAGACTGGAGAAAGTCATGGGTTCGTTCACACGAGTGAGCCAAGCTTTCACAGCAGTCTGAAGATTTTTGCAGTATATTTTCCAAAAATAGTCTTACTAAGAGATGTCACATGATGTACTCCATTAAACCTTTTCTGTGCTGCAGTGAAAGACTGCCTTTTTTTAAAAAAAAAAAGTCAATTTAAAGCTGTGCAGATGGGTGACTACCTTGAGAAGTTCTCCTGGAAAGGTAGCATGCCCAAACAGCTTGGTTTCACCCTGCTGTATTTTCTGCAAGAGCAGATGGGCTGTTCTCACTACACGGAGAGAGAAAAGTTTGGCTACGTGGATTTACTGTGTCAAGACACTGGCCTAACTTGGGCCTCACTCAGCAATTACTCGGGGAGTCACAGACCCGAAGCCACAGTTTTACTCACAAGTAAACCTCCACCTTCTTTTTGATTCACTGATGTTGCTCCAGATGTTCTCCCACAAGTTAAAGGTTACGTTTGGCATTTTTCTGCCTTTTAGAGTTTTATTTATTCGGCTTTCATGCCTCAAATAATATCAGAAGACTAGAGAGCTGAGAATATATCCTTTATGGTTATATCACAGTGATCCCGATGAAGGGCGTTCACATGAGCTAGCAGCAATGCCAGGGAATATTTGGGCTATATCTGTACATTAACAAACCTGTTCTGCCTTTTGCCTGCTAGGCTGTTGAATTGCCATGAGCACCTCTTCAGAAGAGGTTTTCAGCAAAGTTTCACCTAAACTCCGCAGGCAGGAGCTGGAGCTCCGAGGTGCGCCCAGGACCTTGCAATCTTGCAGCGCTAGCTGTAGGCATCAGCAAAAGATTTGGTTCATAAAATATTCTGTGCTTAAAAGCCAGCTAAGACTTCCCTGCCAACCCCTTCGCTGCTGCGCTGGAGCACGTACACACGGACGCGCGGAACTGCTGCCTGCCCAGAACATTTTTCTGAAGGTAAAGACGACCACTAAGCCCTCACCCTGGGGTGGGCAAGGATGGAAAACAGTTATTCTGGTTTGCCGGAAGTAATAGCTAAGGCAGCAAGAGCGCAACCGAAATTGGCAGGATCGCACGGCACGGATGTCGAAGCGTCATGTGATTCGCTCTAACCACCTCATGCCAGCAGCTCTTTTCTAACCACACAGTTATTTCACCATCTCCCAGCCTGCAGCTCTCGACTGCAAATGCAAACAGAGCAGTCTCCTTTTTTTGGAGAACAGAGCGTCTGCGGATAAGGATCGGACACTTCCCTGCCTGTTCTGACCAGATGAGCTGAAGAGCCTGTCTCCAGCGCTCCCGAGGTTTGCATACAGCAGGGAAATGCCTCCCTTCAGTCCATTAGTCCTCGTTCCAGGATAAGCAAAGGATCTCTCCACGTCAGGCTGGTGCAGAATTTGTTTTTCCTTCCAGCGTGACAGCGTGTGAGGTTACCTGAGGCTACCCGTGAGCCTGGAAGATGAAAGCTCAGATTCCCTCACATTTGAGGAGATTTAAAGGAGTGACTATCCCCAAGGAACATTAACCCTGTCATTACACTTTAGGGTGATGTGAGACTTTAAATAAGTGAGAGTCCCACTTTTGTCTCTTGCAAAGAAGCTGCACTCCAGAGCACAAATACAGAAAAAAAATAATACATATTCAGAGATTGAGCAAGGAACACCAAAACGTCCTTTCTTGCCGACAAAATTCCCTATGTCCTGAAAAGACAAGCAGCAGCAGTGGTGCTGCAGAGACCCAGTGCAAGCCTTAATGCCAACCCCCACGTATTCCAAGTCAGGATGCAGCTCTGTGCTACATGTCAGTAAATCTCATTGGCACCGCTGCCCAGGACAGTCCTGCTCTTCCACAGCTCTGGTCCAGCTGTAGCAACACCTCTGCTAGGGGAGCACACCCATTTCCACCGTTGGGCTGATGGTCTGTCACTTTAGCAACTCAACTCAATGCCCTTCACAATGTTACAAGTGACAACAGAGGGGACAGAGCTAGTCAGAACAGCACCACAGCACCAACAACTTATAATTAGGATGCAGTACAAATGACATCAAATTATAAGCCTAACCTAGTCACAAATATCAAGTGCTCAGAAACATCACTTCTCAAAGAGCTGCCTGAAAAAATGACACTGCTAAACAAATCATTGACTGTTTTGTTCAGGCATGTGAAACACATGGCAGACACATGGCAGCGGGAGAAAAGAGGATAGCATCTATGCATAAAGCCCAGACTGCCTCTGAACTGCCCAAGATGGAAACAGGCTGTTGGTAAATATTCTTTTAACTTTGCATATGTTGTAAGATATTTGTACAATGTTTGCAACAGAATATGATAGTTCTGAGATACAAGCTACTTGCTCTTTATCTATAAAAGTCCATACAAACCCCAGGCTGATCTAAGTGTTGCAATTCTCACACAGAGAAATCAAATGGTCTTTTAAAACACAGAAGCCAAGAACAGCAAGATCACAGAAGAAAGGTGATTATCTGGAGTTTACCATAAGCTTACTTTAAATTTCGTTCTGAAATCTTAGATGTAGTAAAAGTCTCAGAGCAACTTGAGGTTGCTTAAACTTATTCATGAAAGCATTGCACCAACTTAAGCTGCAGAGCTATTTTGTTATACGTTCTCCTCATATGGCCTTGGGAAATAAAAATACTAGTTCCCATGCAGACACTTAATAAGCTACTTTTTGCATGGTAAGGACTCACATTTCCCTTAATTACAGGTCAAATATATTATTTAGTCATTCCCCTCCCCATCTCCTTTAACTCCTGAAGGTTCTAGGATCTCATAAAACATTTCCCTTTCCAACATGTCCTAGCTATAAGATTGATGTTTTCTGTATTCCTACCTGTATGGTCGTGTTCCCACCTTCCAGAAGGGCAATGGCTAGTAGAATGCTCTCATGAAAGACTCTGTCACTGGTGGCATTCATGATGAGGTCTATAACCAGGTTGGACGCACCTTCTTTATCCAGATGACACTGGACATCTGCCAAACTCATCTCACCTCGGCTCATTGAACTTGATCCGGAGCTTCCTCCTATAAAGGTGATCAGGACAAACAGCCTGAGATTCAAATCCTTCCACACTAATGTGATGGGATCTCTCTTCTAGTTTAAATAATTAACCTTTCCCAAATAGTGTGCATGTTTGCTAGTGGTCATGAGCTCAACACATAGCAATTCTGCAAGCGAAAGCTGGCAGCCTGGAGCACAGGACACGCTGCAAGGTGGGCACCTCACACTCCAACACGTGCAAGTGTGAGGGACGTTACCACCCAAGGACAGCCCAAGTCGACAGCAAGAAACAGCTACTGCAACTCTGCTTCCCCAGGAGCAGGGGTTGCAAAGGGGACTAATGCACTGGAAGATCATTCTGGGAACAGCATGGATTCAGGGAGGCAAGAGAAAGCAAAGACTTTGCAAGAGCAACGAACTGGTAGAGAAGAGACTAGACAAATGCCAGCAAATGTCAAAGCGCTGTGTAGAACTGTATCCATGGATAGACAGACTAGAGCAAAAGTGTGCAAAAGAACCTGTGGAAGAGGTGGGAAGAACCAGAATTAAGGAAACCTGATCTAGTAAGTGGAAGAGTATGACAGACGGCAGCATTATGAGAGAACAAATGCGATACGTACCAGTTTCAGAAATAGGCAAGAGGGAAATATATTTAATATTCCTGATCAAGCCTGCTTGCAACAGGATTACTGACAGTCTTTATGCTGAAGAAGCAACCCCACTGAATTATCTTTTGATAAACGTGTATGACATTAGTGGCTTTTTTTTTTTTTTCAAATGGTCTCAAATTAAATAAGCTGCACTTCACAGTTGACATCAAATGTAATTTTTGCTCATCCTACTCTGCAACATCTGTGTAATACAATGAAATACTTTCATTTTAGTTATGGTCGTTCTGACTTCCCTATGAGCACATTTCCCCAGTATTACTGCAAACACTTTAAATTGATGAGATTTCTTAAGCAATCCCATTCAAAGCAAAACCACACACACAAAAAAAAAAATCAAGCCAGACCAACAAAGTCTCTGGAAAGAATAAAAAGCTCTGCCTGTTTTCATTTTCAAGCATTTTCTCAAACGCCGTAAGAGAAAAAAACAAACAAACCACTCCTCATCTGCATGAATACGAAGCTGTTGGCACGTTTAGGGCCAGGAGAGCTCCCCTCGGTCTATCAGAAACCCCTCCAGGAGGGTTCGAGCAGAGGGAGGTTTCCCGGGCAGGACCTGCATGCAGGTGACACTTCTTCACCAGCCACCGTGCAAAGCTGCTTCTGGGGGTACTGAACAGACGAGGAGGAGGAGGAGGGCAGAAGAAAGGCCACTTCACCTGTAAGACACTCGCTTTGTCATGCAGGAACACAGACAAGTCTGCAGGGCAGAGTCACACAGTCACTAGAGCAGGCCGCGGTCCTACCTCCTGCCCCGGCTTTACTAGGGCCTCCAGCGGAGAGCGGGCCATTGCCAAAGCTCGTGAGGCTCTCTCGTCTTCCCGCCGCTCGCACGTTGCCGTAGTAACGGTTGACCAGAACTTGCCTGAGTGCCTCACCCTTGATTCAAAGAGGACAACGAAGTCACCATTTGCATTGCACGGATAACGACGCTAGCGATGTCGAGGGGCACGCGCGCGGAGGCGCCCGCTCGGCATCGCGCGATGCTCCAAGGGCCACAGCTCAAGGGCTGCGCTCAACTCGTCTGAAAAAGCTTTTCTTTACAAAAAATTGGTAAGAGAAACTACTGTCTTGGTCTTAAAGAACTGGAGCACGTACACCACCAGCACAAGAGGAAGAGGACATAAAGAGTAACACTAGGAATGATTTGGTGAGACCCATTCCGTCTCCTCCCACACCATTTTGTGCTGGTTCCCACAAAGATTTTAAGATGAATTCCTGGATATTTAAGCTATAGAAGAGCTGTCACTCTAGCAAGGACTGAACATAGAGAAGCACCATCAGCAGACTAATCTCTGTAGGGTCTTTGGACCTGAACACTGCTGGTGATGAGCCCTGGGCCACCACTCTGCTAACGGGCATGGACCATGATTGTAGGACTCAAGACAGGATCTGAAACTTCTGGGAATTCATAAAACAAAGCTGGACACCAATGGTTTCATACCAACCAGGGTGTCTTGATCTTTCACAACAGTGCTCAACACTGCTTTCCAGCTGTATTTCATCTCACATCAGTTGTGTGGCTATAGATTACAAGTGTCATTATCTACCTACTTTAATATGAACTGTTACAGAAGTAGAGGCTTCTAATATTTGCACAAGTGGTCTTTCGGACACAAATACTTAAGTAAATCCATATAAAGGTGTTCATTAGGTCATACACAACTCCAGCACCACTAGGCTAGAATGCTTTTAATCCCTGAGCTGGCATACATAAGGCTGAGATGGATCTTCTGATACCCTGAGACATTGCAAGTCTCCAGGGTTTGAGAAATCTCTTCGCCCTGTCAGAGGCACTCTGTGTGGAAACTTAAAAAAAAAAACTTCCAAAAAATTCAAAAATTACTTCTAAACTAAAGCTAAACACCTCTTTGGAGTTTGTCAGAAAACACGTCTCTTTCTAGCATCAAGGCTATGGCCTTCTGTTTCTCTCTCTGCAGATTAACAGATTAAAATTGCTTCTAGACATTGTGGCAGGAAAGCAGGTGCACAGGAGCTGCATTTTACAGAGGCAGAGGAAGAATGGGAAGAGAAAGAGGGGGACAAGGTACAAGTCACCAGAAGAGCATTCCGGTCAGGCCCTTCCAAAAGCCCAAATAAATAAATAACAAAACTTTGAAGCAACAGTCTAAAAAAAAAATCAGTACTTTTCCAAGGTTTGTGGTCAAGCTACAAATGTAGGAGATGCAGGAGACTATCTGAGCAGTTCAAGCAAACTCTTGTCCCAGGACAGCTGGTTCTACAGTCACTGTTTGGTACAAAACCCAGTGCTTTAATGACTCTCCCCATTTTCGCTCTGGCAGGTGGTGAGCAAGGTGCCTGTCTGCTACCTGCAGACCGATTAGAAAGGAAGTTTGTTTTATTCATAGCACCTTATTCCAAAAATCAGGTAAGATGGGAGTTTTCATGTTACTCTTTTCTCATCCATTAAGGTAACTAGCAGTTGTCACAGCAACTGGCATTTAAAAATGGTAACTTTTGCAACTTACTCTAAAGATTTTAACACACATTCAGCTACAAGAGCTGCTGCCCAGGGAATGCCACCTCTTCCCAAATCCAGATGGTTACTCAGAGCTTGCTAGGCTGTCTCTAGTCTTTTTTTCCAGTCCATTGTGGAACAGAAAACAATTTTGATTTTGTGGTCAAAAAGAGTAGCTCATAGGGAGTTCCTGCCCTTGCAACAGGCCTGTAGCACACCTGCTTTCTCACTGGGCTATCTCCAAACCAGGGCAAGCTAACCAGAAAATACGAGTGGGAACAGGTACGGAGCACCTGCACTTTGCAGCAAGGCAAGCATGCAAGTCTAGAGGTCCAGCCAGCCACATCCAGGGTCATTTGCAATTCCAGCTAGGGAAGAAAACCTTAATTTCCTATTTAATTACCCAAAGTACTGCGTTAGCTAATAAGTACATGAGAATGTAACTGAAATAAAGGGGAGAAAAAAATGTGATATTTAAGCAATGTTATAATTAATTCAGCTGCAATGCTTGGCTTCAGAACAGTTCTTTAACCATCGTGTTACTCTCATACATCACTTTGATGCGCTCAGTATGCAAACAAATATCAGATGCTTGGCGGCATTAAGAAAAATCAAGCATGCTACCTAGAAGATCCATCAGCTCTCATTTTCTGCTGTATTCGTCATCAAGGGAAACTGATAGTAAGTAGTAAACAAACATCATTCCACATGCATCAATGGATGAAATAAAAACAACTCAGTTTAGGTGCTATCAAAAAACCTGTTAGCAGCATTAAAACTGTGTTACAGAGTATTTAATAAAATCTGAGAGAGGCAACTGTAAGCCGCTGTTACTCTGTTCCTGACTACAAGAGCAGAAGAGAGTGAGAAACACTATAGGTAGCAGCACATTTCAGCAGTGGTGGTTCTGCAGTTTGACTGTTTGTGAAAGAGGAGGGGTTTTCTCTTTTTTTGTTTAATTATTTCTGGGAGGTGAAGAGGGGACAAGCAAACTCCCCAAGGCCCAATTAATCTCATCGCGTGAAGCTTTAGAGGTGGAAAGAGACTAGGGCAGGCACTGAGGTTTAATCCTGCGTGACCCAGCACCCTCCCCTTCCCTTTAAACGCCAGACAAGCTGCTTGAGTATCTTGTTTCATAAACAGAGCTGCTAGTTTTAGACTTTCTAGGAGACTGGCAACAAGCACAGAAGTTTCCTACACGGTTTGCACTTCGCCATTTAAAAGGAAAAGGTAGGGGATTAGCTTTAAGTGCACTTGGCTGCTGTACATACCCTTCTATGATCCTCCAGTTGCCTCTGTGGTAGACTTTGATCAAGCTCCTGCTGCGCAGGCAGAAATGTCATTTTAAAGCAGAGCAACACTACAGAGACACTAACATCTTTGCACTCATGGAAAATATTAAGGAAAGTCACAGCTGAAAGCAAGGGGGAGATAAGGAAGATCAACTGGCAAGCTGTCTAAACATAACATCAGGCCTTTATTAGCTCTAACAGGACTTAACCAGTCTGCTTTGACTCTCCAGCAGACCACACATGGCATGCAAGTATGCCAACACATTCCCAGGGATTTAAGGAAAACAAAGTCTACCTAATTTTACAGCCACCAGGAACACAAAGGTTTCCAAGGGTTGAGACCATGCACTACGTCCATGCATACATATACACGTGTACACACACATACACACACGACACCCCTGCCCACTGCACACACTCTTCTGGAGGGAGAGTCACACTTCATCGGATCCAGCTGTGGTCAGCGAAGCTCTCTGAGGACTGGGGGGGCCTCTGCCAAAACCCAGAAGTTTTTATTCCAATACCATAGTTGTATCCCATAAGTACAGGGAGGCTTTACTCTGATTTACCAAAGTCCCACGGCAGGTCACATGGCCAAATAAAATCTGTCTGAGCGATGAGAACTTGCCTTACTTGGGATTTCCAAAGTGCAAGTTCTAACCTGTGCTAAATTTCTGAAAGTTTGCTCCTTTTGGATACTTTATCTGAAATATTCTCATTACTCAGAAAACAGTCTGAAACCATTGCTCTGCCCAGGGACCTTGTCCAACCAACTGCCATCCCCAACATCTCAAAGTCATTCTATGACCACCAAGCGTTTCAGTTTACACTTAAATGGTCTTCCACAAAAATTACTAATAAAAACTCTGAGTTTATTTTGAAGTCAAAAAGAAAAAAAATGCAGTTTGTGTTTTTTTTTTTTCTTTTTGACTTCAAAATAAACTCAAATAGCCTTTTAGACTTGGGATTCCATGTACTTTTCATTAGATTTGCAGGAATATATTACCCAAGAGTGTAATCTTCCAACGCTACCTCTGGATGTTCTATTAATTCCAAGATAATTCATGGTTTTTATAAATCCTTATTTTTTTTTTTTGGCAAATAATTTAAGTGAACTGATTTTGGGTTATCTCAAATGAAACATGCCTAAATTCCCAGTCCACAGAAGAGCTATTCACCTCAATGAAGTCAAGTCATTCTGTCATTTTCAATGGGACACCCAACGTTTCTGGAATTGTGGAAATTTCCACCAACCTTCATTTTCAGAACAACTCTATCCTGGATTGACTAAATCATCAGTCCTTGAGATCCTTTATTTTCTTCAGGAATATAGATTTGCATTTGGCTTACCAATTTTATCACAGGAAGTATTTCAGTGACCAGTCTCATGCTGTATTAGACTGAAACACTTGAACAAATCTACTGATTCTCCACAGTCTACACCACGCAGAACACACATTTCACAGGTCACTTTTTTTTAAGCCAACAAGACACTCCACCAAGACTACTTCAAAACACCAATATTTGCCTGTTGCACAAATATAGGTGGGTGACACACCTCTACAGAGTTTTCCGTTTCTGGAGGCTGCGGCAGCTAGTTGAAAGTAAAATGCAGAAAAATTAGTCATTCTTCAAGATTCTTTCATCTCAACAGAAATCTAGTGGTCAACACATAAGGGGAGCTAGAAACTGTTTGACTTGAGCTGAATCATCACAAACGAATTACAGCATAATTACTGTTTACCCCCGCACCATGCTCCCAAGAAGGCTGCACTTGGAGAATTCAGCGGGTATCGTTTGGGCAGCGCCAGCTGCGTTGCTTGAACAGAGGCTGAAGCTGCAGGCGCAGGCAGCCTGCAACGCAGCGGCGCTGCTGGACCCCTTGCTCAGCATCACGACGTGGGCACGGCGAGTATAGTGCACATATGAACCCAATGCTGGCTGCCACCAAGGAACATATTTAGAACAGTATCTGGATTCTTATTTGGATTCTCATTATAAATGTTCTCTTTTTGAGATGAAAAACAGGCAGTGTACTGTCAAGCAGGAGCAATCGAATAAACAGCTTAATGGTGACAGTTTTCCAAATTTAAAATGCTAATCATCATATTGAGACAGATCAAGGCAAGCAACTTCTACATAGCAGAACTCAGACATTCAGCAGAGACCTTGACATTCACGTGAAGGTATCTACTTAACAATGGGTGAATTGATTTAACGTCTCAGAAGCAGACACCAAGAAATAAGTCCATTACAATACACTAATGCCAAATTAAGTCATGGGCCATGTCAGCCTAAAGAGTGTACAAGCTGGACGAACAAACCAAGCACAGGCTGGGAGAGTTCTAGCCCAATTTCCACTGCAGCCTAGGAAATACATGGAGGAAAAAAAAAAATCTAGAAATCTAAATATGGAGAGATTTCACTTAGCACAAGGACAGAGGAACTAACATTTTCCACTGCGGGGCTCAGGAGACGGGCACGGTCAGGAAGAATGGCCCTCTGTCCTTCTCCTAATAGACTTTCCTCCTGGCTGACTCGCATGGCCTCTGGTACAGCATTTCCTCACATTGTCACCACTCCTGGAAAGCTCTCAAGCATGGAAACCACTTCTTGCACGGTCAGGTTGGAACAGTGGGTATTAAGCCAGAGAGGAGAACAGGAAGAGCCTCATTTACGCAGAGGAACACACAGTTCCTGCGGTGCGCACGCTACCGAGCACAGCCTGCTTGCTCGTGGGTTGGACATTGGAAAGGCCACGTCAAGCCATTAGTTAGTCTGGGCACATAGTTGGGATTGCAGACATAGGCCAACTTGCTTCCGAACAAAGCAAAAAATTCCTCAGTTATTTATGAGAGTCATCCCACCTACATCAGCAAGTAGAAGGTGCCAATAGCTCTAAAGGAAATTAGGTGACTTCCCTTCCAGAGCGGCGGAAGCTGCTGCAGAAAGGCCCAAGGGAGACAAGAAGACAAGGGAACACGTTGGGATTTGGATTTCAAATGGAAGAGCACTCTTATTCCCATGCTTATAAAGTACATAAAAATTTGTGGGGCTGAAAACAGACAGAGATGAAGAATCAGCATGAAATTAGTTCGAACTTTTCAAATTAAGAAGGGAAAAGCAAGTGTTTCAATTAACAAATTCCTGTGCCTCCCTCTTTGGCAGCCAGAGCACCTGTGGATGGAGCAGCAGATCAAAACCCTGCACCAAACTCACCGGTGGGCCACACTCTGCAGGAAGGCTCCGACCTACTGGGAGCTTCACAGCCTTTCAGGAGGAGCACAAACTTCAAATACTGAAATTGAAACTCAAAAGGATTTAAACACAGAATTATTCAATGACAGCCGCTGTGCTATGCTTTGCAGGACCACTTCTGCAAGCTTTTAGTATTAGCTTGTATTAGAATCAGAGGAGCAAGCAGGGTACGAGAGTCGAATGGGTAAGAAATCCTGCTGATTTTTTTGCGCCTCCCCATACCTTAGTTCTCTCCTTGTTAAAAAGTGGCAGAGGGAGGAAGGAGAAATAGGACGCTGAGGTTTGTAAAGGACCAAGACACCTTGCTAACGGAGGCCAGGTGAGTGGCACATACACAGTAACCAGCTTTCAAACTCAAATGTAATGGGTGGCAGGATCAGAGGAAAGTGCAGCACTTTTCCTTTTTGTTAGCAGTAGGGAAAGTTCCTTTTTACTTACTGTACAAAAATCCTCCTTCCTTTGAAGTTTCCATTCCCACAGGTTGGCGAATAGACCTCTCATCATTACCCGTAATAGAAGAGTTAAAATTTCTTTGACCTCCTGTGACTAGAACATTTCTGACATTTGCTTCCCTCACAGAAAAGCTGTGTTTTTCCCAGAATGGTATTTATCTGACTCGAAGCATAGCTATATCCACCTCAACAACCTGCAGAGTCAGCGAGTGCTCCTGTGAGCTCAGGACCTCTTGGCATAACACTTACAGAGCACATTTGTGGGAGACTTGGTCTTTTTCTTTTACAGTTTTGAGGAAGGTGTGAAAGTTTAAGTTTCATTTGCTTTAAAAGAAAACTGTATAAGCCTGTCTTTCATGGAAAATTTAAATAAATTAGTGATGTAGATATACTGAAAGAGGGGTTGAGGAAATGCAGAGATTTTCATTTAGATTTAAAGCCTCTGGATTACTTCTCTTGCTAATTTTCTTAAACTCACCTATCCAGTAAACATCTAGAATGAGCTCTCTGAAGAAGCTTGACTCGCATTTGCAAAGCAGATGGAGATTCCAATTCCCATGGACTAAATCTCCTCCAAGAAATGGTTTCAGTAAAACAGGATAAAAGATCTTATATTTTAATATTAAAAAAATAGGTAGAAAATAATGCCATCAGGAAAAGTTGCACATTTGCATCATCACATGCTTACAAATGCTTAAAAAAACCACCTCTTTTTCTCTTCAGCCTCACTAAACTTTGTGATTTTGAAATAAAAATGGACAAAATAGTGCACATAAAGCTCAAACCCATTTCTTCATTTCAGGCCATCTCTAAGCTCAAATGACAAAGCAAACAGCAAACCTCAGGCTGTTCAACTTGCACAATTTCATGCTAGTTTCCAAACTATTGTGTCTCCTTAAGGTCACTTCCTGTCTGAGCACTCTGAGACCCAGAGGGGTCTTGCCTGTCTCCTATAAACTGACATCCATTTTTGAAGATCTTCAAGATCAACACTGCCTAGTTTGAAGCAGCTTAGTCCAACTGGATTTATTTGGCTCAACACAGAAGCAATTTGGAGAAAAGAGATGCCGGCATTGGGTCAGAAGTCAAGTTCAGTTACTTGATGGTCCTTTCTGGCCTTGAAATATGTGAATTCCTAAACTGATCCATTTTCAATCACATGCCATCTAATTATTTGGGTGGCAGGGAGGGCTATTTTCAGAGGAGAGAGAATAAAAAGGGAGGAAAAAACACATCTACACAGTCAGCCAGTCAAATATCAAATAAAGCAAATAAAGCTTTTGACAGTCATGTTGTATAGTCAGATGTGAAGAACAAAGACATGGATAAACCCTATTGGCAAATTTCTTTATCTACCTTACTTCTTACTCCATCATCTTTGGTATCAGCTGGCACGAAAGTAACAACTGGCTGTTTAGACACAGTCCTGGAAGAGCCTTTCCACTTTTCTCCCCTTCTGAGCCTCTTCCCTATAGGCTAGATTTGCTCTCACTCTTACCAAAAACACCCCGTAAAGCAGCGTGTTCTCATGCTCCTACCTGTCCTGATTCACAAGAACCAACTATAGAACAAATTTGTTGGGTGTCCTTCGTAATTCTTCAATAAGAACTCCATGAAAAGGGAAATATCCAACCATATAGGTTATTTACATGCAAATTAACTTCCTTCATAAAGCCAGTATTACTACCTTGTAGAACTGAGAAAATCCTCCATCGGATGGGAAATTTTAGCCTCTGCAGATGATACGTAGGTGTGTTTGTCAAAAACGCCTTTGACTTGCTGTGCATAAGTTTCAGGGGAGCAGGGAACCAAAAGCACTGAACTTGCTTAGAAGAAACTTCCCACATTACAGTTTATCGCTGCAGCAGACCCCAAAGTCACCACGCGTTATAATTTTAGAAGGCAAGAGAGGATTTTGCACCAGCAAAAAACTGAGCGGCAGTGCTGGGCACGGCAGGGCACAGGGCCTGGCACGGGGGTCTCCGCACATGGCGAGCACAGAGTGCTGCACATCTCACACGGGCAGCTTCGCTCTGCCCTTAATGTGCTGCAAACGTTTTAACACGTTACGGCAGGGAACGCCCCAGTCTCCTCTCCCAAGGAGCTTAGGGATTCCAGTTCTAGTCTGTGCAGTGAAAGTGGGCTGAAAATTGCAGGACTTGGGAGCAAAAAATATATACGGCAGCCCACAAAAATTTATGAGAAGCCTGCATTTCCTCTGCTTGAGACATAACAAGTGAAGCACCGTCTAAGGGAACATGAAAAATGGCTGGGGTGGGAGCTCCCCTTCCCAGGAAAATAATTTTCAAGTGCATCTCTCTGGCACTTTGGAGGTTAAAAAAAATCTTCCAAATCCAATCAAAAGATCTAAATTAACACAGATTTTGCACCTTACTCAGCAGTTCTCAAGTAGTTTCACAGTTCCTCATTCATAAACATCACTGAAAAGGTTCTTTCACTCAAGCCCTTTGAACCAGGATTTTCAGTTCTCTTTTCACCTACTTGAAACCAAAGACTGCCCTAACTCAAACTATACTGAGGGGGTCTGCAGGTGGATTTTGCTGGGTCATTAACTGCATAAAAAGATAACAGATGACATTTGCTTAATTAAAAATGGCCTTCTAATAGACTTTTTACTTGGTTATTTACTGCAAATGCTGGAAGCCTGAGCCATGCAGCTGGAGTGCAAGCCCAGGCTGCCTGGGCTGTGGCTACCAGGGGGCTGTGGCAGCAACGTGCAGAGATGGCTCTGGGGACACGTCGCCGCCAGCTCCGCAGAGCAGCAAGACAGAGCTCAGGGCTCAGAGACAAACTGTTCGGATGATAAAAAAAATAATAAAACACGTCTCCAATGGTATGAGAACAGCATTATGCTGAAGGAAGCAGCAGCCGCGGCAGCTACCGCTGCGGCCGGGCCGCTGGCAGCCGCGGCGCAGGGACTGTAAACAGCCCCGCCACGGTTATTGGCAATTACTGCTGAAGGTCACACATCAGCAGCGGGCCTAAATTCCAGGAAAAAAAGCTCCTCTTATGTAACTGCTGAATGTTGGCAGGTGCCCAATGGAGTTCACTGCAATGTAGGGAGGGGAAAAAAAAGAAAAAAGTAGGACATCTCCCAGGCTCATTCAGCATCATGAGAATGCCACCTGCAGGTGACGGCTAACATGTCCCCTTCTGGCTCGCCCCAAGAGCAGCCTCCTCCTCAGGGACATCTGTATCTTCATGCATAAAGGCTCCTGGCACCTGCCTGAATTCACAGTGAGGGGATGGGGAAGTTGGCACGGGAGGCAGAAACGTGTTGAAGTGGAAGCACGTGGCTCCGGGAGTCGTGATTCCGGAGCCCCCGGCTCCTGCTGTCATCTCGACCCCATGCAGCCATCTCAGCTACAACATCTGCACCTCCCCAGAGCCTGCAATTGCCTGGGGTTTATGAGCTCAGCTGCTCCATGCGATTGCAGCAGGGTTAACCGTGTCCATTTTGTCACTACTCATGCCCTAGGGCACCTAAAAATTCAGGTTGGTCCTGAGCCTCCTCTTGGGGAGGCCAGACATTGGTAATGACCTCACCAAGAACTAAACCTAGAGCAAAACTATTCACCCCTTACGTAGTGGCTTAAGAGAGACTCAGCCCAAGAGCTTTCAGAGATATGGTGCCCATGTGCTACCGGAGGATCTTCTTCATCTCTGACTGAAAAGATCTATGGCTAACAAGTCCCCATTTGGCATTTTCCTCTGCTCACAGAGTCACAGCTCATGACATCAGTCTGCTGTGCTGGGAAACTCTGCAGAGCTGCAGCTCAGGGTGGAAGCAGAGACGAGCTCTGAACACGCAGCTCCCGAGGCCGCAGCTCCCACGCCCAAAGCAGCAGGGGTTGGGGGTTTCCATTAAAACCAATCAGGCTTTTCTTACATCTTCCTAGACATGTTTTCAGCTCTTTATTTTAATACCAGTCTTCAGAGACCCTACCCTAAAAGCCCGGAAGCTGTAAATGTGCAGAGGAATACTGAAATACTGAAAGGAAATCAGCATTTTCAGTATATCCCAATTTCTGTCCCCAGAAAAAACCTTTCATGTGCCTCAAAACTACATGTTGTGGAATTTGAAAATCATCTGCAAAAAGCTTAAGTCCGTTCCTGCACATTTACCAGGAAGGTTCGCGGTGCTCAGACCACATTAATAGGTGTTGACAGCAAACACCACCGCTCCTGGCGGGCAGGAGCGCCTTCCTGCCGCTCCTGTCACGAGTGACACCCAAAGCTGCCTTTAAGACAAATCCCTCAACAGAAAGCAAATAAATTAGGGCAATGCCAGGCCGAGGGGATTAAAGTAGCTTGCTCCTTCCCTTCTTTCCCCCAGCACCTCCTTGGCATTGCAGGTCCTGCAGAAATGCAGATTCGCCAGTGTTGCCTGCAAGATGCACGGATCCATCCACGCACACGGTCCCGCCTGGAGACCTTGAACTCAAGAGCTCAGCTCTGCCAGAGGGCACTAGTTTTACCTTGAGGCAATAAAGAGTGTTTCAGCTGGTCAGAAAAATTCGACCATCCAGAGTTGGACAAACAGGGAAGTTAGTAATTTTATTAATAACGGAGCCTTCTGTATTCTTTTGCCCTAAGTGTTTACAGTTGCCAGGGGGACAAGGAAAAGAAAAAAGGAAACACGAGCATTTCCTTTGGGGATTTTCTCAGCAATCTGAAGCAGCCTGAAACCTTCTCTCTAAACAGAAGACACTCGTTTCCAAGAGGAATAACTGCCCCTGTCCATACAGGGCACCGCTCCTCTCCTCCGGAGTGGGAATCTCCAGAGCAAACCCTGAACTGCTCTGCACGCTCCGCCTGATTTATTGCTGGCTAGGGCAGCACACTACACCCACCAATGAAATGGGAAGATATTCATATTATTACTTGATTTGTAATTAAAACAACTCAAACTTCTGTCTGAGGTTTCTCCCAGATGAATTACATGCCCGGTTCCAGGAAGCTGCAGTCCCACGTGATCTAAGGGGGATCCGAGGGAAACGGTAACATGCTACAGAAGAACCTTCCCAAGACAGCACATTTCTGAGCAATCTCAGTTCTCAGGCAAGAGGCAAAAAGAAAAAGGTCTTAGCTTTTTCAAAAGAGAAAAATACCTTACACCAAAGTACCCGTCTAACTAAATCATTTAAGGTTTAGTGTGACACATAGGGACACATTTGAGCATCCTCCTCCTCCTGGAGAGGAAAGGTCTTTTCCAGCCACAATGATCATCACTGATTCACTGATTGCATTTCATCATCTCTTCTATTAAATAAACAAGAGTAGCATTACAGATAAAGCAGTTGAGTTTTGTTCCAAATAAAAGGTTGTTTTGGAGACAATGCAGGAAGCAAGCCACACAGAAAACATTCCTTTTTTTCCCCCTATATTTTTCCTCTATGTTTCCAATATTTCAGTAAAATAATGTGCCAGTCAATCGCTTTCACAGTACTATAAATTTATGCAAACAGATTCTCCAATTGAGTGTCCACATTGCTTGTTTTTCTTTGAGACACCCAAAGTAGCTGCTGCAACACAGACTGCTCAACTCAACTAATTCCACCCCTAAGCAACAGTGCCTGAACGAAGCAGAACACAAAGGAAGCTTAATTCCACTTAAACCAAAGTCTTCATTCAAATATATTTTTCCACCTTTAAAACAGCTACATGCAACATAAACACGAGTGGGCTGGTGTACTGCCAACCAGAGCACCATTCTGTGCAATAGGAAGCTAGCTTTAGGACTCAGTAATGTTCAGAGTTACACCACGCGGCTTTCACAACACTTCCTAACGCTTTGCATGCCTTTATGTACCAAGCCTGACTAAGAAGCAACAGGAAAGATAACTCGAGATGTTCCTGAATAGCACGAGAGTCATCTTTTTCTGCAAACAAGCCCTACCGCTTCCACCCAAGGAAACCCAGCCCTTTGGCCTCGTGTGCATGGAACACCTTGGGACCTGAGCAATGCCTCGCGCCAGCCAGGCAGCAGACGGATCACTCGGGGTCTCCTCCAGCTGCTTTTGGCAATTTCTTCAAAGTTATATACAAATACCATTAAAGCTAAGTGTTTACATTTTCAAATAGCTAAGAACCTGCTCGTAGGCTACGCAGTAATCACCGCAGGGTGCTAAATGCTGACTCTTTAATGGTACTCATGGCAGTTAATATTCCTTCCAAACGCACTCAGATCTGGTCCTAAACTTTATGAGGACTATTACGGCACCAGATGACTGCAGACTGCCAGAAATTATAACTGCATTTGGACTAACATTCAAAGTAATGTCATATGGAATTAGTTATGGTAACTACTCCCAGCGCAGACACACGGCAGACTGCAAGCTCCACCAAGGCACTGACACAGCGCATACACGTCGGAGAGGCCACTGCCCGAGGGACAACAGGACAGATCACAGCGCTACTCGTAAAACAAACACCATAGAAACAACACCGGAGAAGATAAATAAAATTAAAACCTCCGCATTATCCAATTCAATGGTAAACTGCTGGAAGAGAAACAGGGAGGAAGAAGTGAAAGCAAGCATTAGTAAGAGAAATTGCAAACAAACTTCACATTAGGATCTTATAAATTATTTAACGCTTTTATGCTGCAGTCTGACACGACGAACGTTTCCAGAGGCATCAGTGGCATTCGCGAGTGGTGACACGCAGGGGACAGGACAGCCCCGGTCTCACACTGACCAGCAGGTCACCAGGCTGGCCCAACCGGACCCCAGGGCTTCCCCTGGACGTAAAACTGCCCCTAACGGGCACTGTAAGCAGCATTAGGCATCCTTGGGTCTTCATAAGGAGAGGATTAAGTTTAGTTTTAGGAAAAGAGTTTTCAAATATTAAAACTGAACCTAGTCTTGCAATAGACACCCAGAAAGATTTGCTTGCATGAATGATGTGTTTTACCAAAGTAAGAAATCTCAGGTCTAGCCTACACAGCTAATGTAGTGAAGTTTTCAGCCTATTAGGTGTTCCACAGTATATACCCATCACTGCAAGAGCCTGAGCACAAGCCAAGCCGAGGAGTCTTGGGCAATATGTAAAACCTGAAGCCTTTCCCACGAGCTCCTGCGCCTCGGTGCTCAGCAGCACATGGAGAGCACGGTGAGAAGAGCCCCAGCTGCTCGAGGCTCCGCTCCGGCTCCCCGGCACGGCTGTCCCACGCACGGCACGAGGACAGGGCCAGGAGAGCACGGCCTCTTTATTGCCTGCGCGGCAAGATTTAAGTGCACCAATGGAAGCACCATCTTTTTAAGTAACAGGCTGTTGCAGCGAGTGCTCTGCTGCGTTACAGCGAGGCACAGAGCATGAGAAGGGCCTCGCTCTGCTCAAGCGATGGGCTCTCGGCTTTGCGTCAGCCCCGCTGCAACTGAACCGCACAGATTGCGGATCTGGAAATTTAGCACTGTGTTAAGAGCAGCTTGAACTGGGGTATAACTGAAGCCTAAAAAAAGTGGGCAGAGGGAAAAGAGCATGAAAAAAAATTAGGAAAGGGAGGAATGACAAGGCTTTCCTGATCCGCATAAGAAAATGATGAAATGCACAATAAGAAAATGCAGCAAAAAAGTGCAAAAATATTGGATGCAAAATTCAATTGAAGTTTGTAAAAATAACTGAACCAAGCTTATCAAAAAACCTGAGGAATTCCTAAAAAATAATTTTCAAGTGGTATAAGATTAATTTCCATAAAAAGAAACACAGAAGATGGGTCAGCCCTTCCATTCTGGTTGTGTCAGTCTAAAAGACCAACCTTCCTTCTGATTTCTTAGGCTGATCTAAACCACTCTCTCCTAGCTGTTTACAATGGATGGGAGACTGCACAGGGATGAATTTAATGTATAAAAGCAAATCTTTCATATCCCCAGAGCTTTGGGTAGGGCAAACATCAGCATTCAACACTTGCTAAGAAGGATCCCCCAGCCAACTGCACTGAGGAGAACGGGCTCTACCTGTCCCCCTGAGAGGGAACCTGTGCACCATACTTGACCTATCCCACTGCCCTTCTTCCTTGCAGCTCGTTAGGGCATTTGCCCCAAGGCAGATGAGTTTATTCTCATGCACTGCTGCTAGGAGCAGTGCGGGACTCCGGCGGGGCTGGTCAGACCAGGCAGAGCCAGTGCCCAGCTCCCAGGCAGCACTGGCCTGGCTGCCCAGCTGCATCAGGCAGAGCAGATGCCTCTGCCGTGGCTGCAGATATAAACAGCTATTAAGGAAGCTGTTTGATCTTGAAAGTTATTATCCCTGAGCATAGTGCTACCCACCAAGCTGCAACTGAGAATGTGACAGGGGATGCTCCCTGCCCCAGCAGTGCCCATCTGCAGAACTGCTTCCCTCCGTGATCCCAACCACTCACTCGGAATTGACCGAGGGCAGGTTCATCAGAGGGTTTATTTTTCCAGCATTTCTTTGCATGCTTCTGCTACACAAATCAAATCTGTGCAGCAAGACAGACATTCAATATAAAAAAATCACTTCAGAAACCCACTCTATTCCTCTAAGAATTTAGATTTGCAAATTTTTGCTCTTAGTCTAGAATGAACATGTGCCTGCCTTCAGTTTGCTTGTGGAAAAACATAGCAGGTTCTTCCTTGGTAGTTATTCCAAAAGGCAAGGTATATATTAAACCCCTCTCAAACTCCATAATGCTGCTTTAATCCTGCTTTATTTTCCCACAACCTTATAATAAAAATCATGTTATAAATAAAAATCAGCTCTCCAACTAGAGTACACCTCTGTATAGCTACCATGAGGCATATTAATAGTCTAGGCTGCCTAAACCTGAGATTAAGATTAGGATTGAATGTAGGAGCAAGTGGGGCATATACCCACTCGCCTGATACAAACAGAGAATAATTCTTTCTGTAGCTACAGAAAAACAGTCTTCTCAGCAAGACAAAGGAGTTGTATGCAAGTAAAGGGAAACGAGCAAACATGGGTGGGTGTGCAGACAGTTTCCATCTATAATTCACATGAAGATGACTCAGATGCATATAAATTAAAATTAAACCACAAAAATCTCTATTGCAATTCTGTGACCTGATGAAGAGTCACCTAGACCCAGAAAGCAGATAAAAAGGCTACAGCCTTCATAAAAAGGTAATCAAATTAAATTTTTTTTAGTGTCAGCAACTGAAAAATTTGGTTTAAATTTGCAAGTCTGAAGTAAAAAAGCAACAGAAATGAACTTACCTTTCAAGTTACATATGGAGTTACTAGTTGAATAAAAATGTTTTGCTCCTGATCCAGTGCAGAAATGCTTGCATGTACAAAACAGCTTTTTTGTTTTTCTTTACTAAATAATGAAGAGTGGGCTGAAGGGAGGGTGATGAACTGTAGAGCACGTACCTTTTCTCCATAGCCTCTATCTTTGGTCATCATTTCCCTGAGTGTTTGCAAGACTTTAATACATAGCTTCTCCTCGTTCTCCTCCAGTAGCTGCTTAGTATGCTTAATTAACCTGAAAATAACCAAATGATCACAGCTGATTTTAGTAATTGCATTTCTAAAAAGGGAAAAGTAGTATGTGGCTGGCTATCTTGATTGGTTTAATCTACAATCAACAGTTTAATTGAAACACGGTTTGTCACACCCTTATACAACAATGCTGGCAGTATCCTCTCAAAAGCAGTATCTAACAAATCTAACCAACTACCTTGGACTTCACTGCAATTGTGAAGGAGACTCCAGTCCTGCTGGCTGAATGACAGTCAGATAAAACCCTAGCGACTACAGACAGAAAAGGTCAGACTGCTGGCCCCAGAATTAAAGATTTGATGGACCTCACAGTGAGAAGATAGATATTCCATGTGCTCATTTGTTAAAAAAAAAAAAACAAAAACAAACACACATTTAACTGGGCCACTCAAGTTTGGTGTATAGTTTCCCTAAACTGCCTAAAATCTGGAAGGGAAAGCATCTTCCAAGTAATGATTTGAGAACCCAAACTCAGCCCTGAATTGCCCTTTAAATGATCCTATAATCTTGCCTTTTTCTTCCCTCCAGATGTGGGCATTAGTGATACACATAATATCAACTTTTTTGTCATATCACCCCAGGAGTAAGTGCTACAAGAATTTGCAGAATATGTTTATAACTGGGGTTTTAAATATAGACTGAACAGGAATCAGCTCAAAAGTTTTCCTCACTTGTACAACTGCTCATTACATTTAAATGCTACAGAAATTCAGGAGGTTTCAAGTCTCAGCACGAGGACTTATCAACCAGCCTTCCTCTGCTCCCAAGCAAGGAACTGAATCTTTTCAGAAGCAAACTGCACAGCAATTTCCTGTGCTTTATATAAAGCCAGGCAAGAAGGCATCATTCCATAGGGCACAGGAAAACTGTAAGGAAACAAACAAAACCACTGGCAAGCCAGACTTTTCAAAACTACTTACTTGCAAATGAAGCCTCCACTTTCACACTTCCTTCTCGCATCTGTATTCTCTGGGAAGAGCAGTTCAGGCCTATGAAGCACATCTACGAGAACGGATAACTCTGCCTGGACAAGGGGACGTAAGCGGTCCTCTAAAGCTGATACTATGTCCTGGAATATACCCACAACACAATTTTAAGCATTAAATAATACATACAAATTTGTATTTTTTCTCAACAAACTGTTAAAAAAGATGACAGAGTGAAGCCTGTCCATTTACATAGACTCTAAGGATTAAAGACTTCAGAATTAGGCCAGATAAGACTTTTAGATTTTTTTTTAAATTTTTCTGTAAAAAGAAGCCACAATTTTCAGCTCTTTTTCACTTCATTCTCCTGCCCTCCCCACCCTTGTACACACCTCTTGTTCATATAGGAGAAAGACAGAAAAAACAGACTAACAGCTGCATTGCAACTTTGTCATAACAATTGGGATATTTATGCTTACACAAACTGATAAAAAAGTATGACTGGTGAAGTTATACAAAAACAAAATACTTCCCCTTTTCATTAGCATTTTTTAAAGCTGCAGCTACCTTAAAACAAGACCACATTAATTGCAGTACTTAAATAAGCAGAAAATACTGAGATGCACTTGAAGTCAGGGAAAAATACTGAGATGTGCAGCCAGGGAGATAGTTGAAACTCAATGAGAATGGGTTGGGCAATGTTCTTATTTTACATTATACATTTATGTAAATTTAGTTAAAACTGCTTGCCAGAAAAGCTTTTGAACAGAGAATAAATCTTCAAAAGGATGAAGGTACAATTTAAGTTAATGATTATTTGGTATAAAAAAGTCCCTATCAAATCTTCCCCAGTCTGAACATAAAATATAGGTATAACACACTGGTCTCCATTGACAAAACAAACCACTATGTTCCTTTGAGCAGAAATGATGCAAAAATGCACATGCTTTGTTTTGGACAAAGCTACAGTGGTTGCATGAGGTTAGGGTCAATTCATTTATTTCAAGCTTTGCAGTGGTTTCTAATCAGGACTGTTAAAACTTTCATTATTCTGAGAGTTTTGTTGTACAACAAGCAAAACACTGGAGAGGGGGTTGGAAAGCTGCAACAACGAGAATAGCCTTTCTTACCAAATGTTTTATTTCCAACTAACAAGAATGTTTTTAGTACCACTAACTTGAAATACCATCATCTTCCAGGGCCAGATACCCATACTCATTAGCTGTGCATGTTCAATCACCTTTCGGATACAATGGTTTAGACGTGATTTTATTTACATTATTATATTCAGGTGGCTGGATTACCATGCAGCATGTTGCTGCATATTTAATACCAAAAATGTCTTTCTCATTTGTAACAAATACGTCCTATCGTGCAGACATGCAAGTAAGTGGCTAAGAGAAAAGGCTGCTGGGGAGTCACCTGCAATCTCTCAATGATGTTGCGATAATCCCTGGAGGCAGCAAGCACTGAATCCCTGCGGGCAGCATTCCTTGCTGTCATTCGCCAGTTCATTGCAGTTTTCTGTACAATGTTATGGGATTTCAGGAAGAGATTGTTGACCTGACTGTCCAAGTCCACGGGAATTGCAATTGCTCGGCTCTTTGCTGCAGTATGCAAGAGTGGGTAAGAATCAGCTCCTTTAGCCCATACGTTACAGCCAACATAGGAACAAGACACGCTCTATTTGCAGCCCTTTCCACCATCTCCTTCACGTGCATTTTAAACCACGCAGCGTTCAGCTCATGCCTAACAGGTCAGACCTCTCCAGAGCGTTCCGTTTACAGGCTTTCATACCTTGGAGCGACATTCAGCACACGTGAGAAGAAATCTGTGCTAATACAGGCACCCATCTAATTGACTTTGGCCTCAAACCTACTGCAAATTACTCCTCTCGTTACTAAAAGCAAAACAAATAACTGGAGGAGCAGCACTAAACTACAGATGGACCAATCCTTCACAGATCAGTAGGACTGCAGAATTTGAGATTAAATCAAGAACATAATTCTGCCTTTGACTAGCCCTTGACTCCGAGTTAACACAAGGAGCACCTACTGGAGGTAAACTGTACTTTTTAATGGGAAGGATGATGTATAAATAGCAGGTTTATACACAACCACGTTTGGAGCAGTTATACCTCATTCCATTTGGTGCATTTCTTACCTACATCTGAGAGCACACGAATGCAGCTTTCCACCGATGCCTTTTGGCTTGGCATTAACCAGTTACAATGGTAGACTCTGAACACACCTTGCAGCAATTGCACAAACACAGGCTGGCGGGTCTAGAACACAACATTAAGGAGAAAAGATTTAATTCATCACATCCCCCTCCAGTTGATGTGTCACCCCCCCAATAACACAGGTGATGAGCTCTGGCCATGATTCTTTGCAACCTAATCACTTCTAACCAGCTGCATCCATTTATTAGGCAACTTTATGTTGTAGACACTGTATCTACCACACAGTCAGCAACTGGGATAGGGCAGGAATGAAGGCTGGAAGGGAAATACTAAGTAGCTTCTAAAGCATAAAGCCTTAGTAATTGAAGTCTGACTAAGCAAAAGAAATAAGCAACAGTCTTCATCTGTTTAATCAGAGGTTTCAAGAAACCCAGCATACAGAGATTCTCCTTTTAGCACTGGCTAACAGCTGACTCAACAGTCCGTAGGTAAATGGGACTTGGCTCTTGGCTAAGAGCACAGCTCTGGAGTTGAGAACTCATCACTCCAAGTACTAGCTGGAATCCAATTTACTGAAGAAACTGGATGTGTGCTTGTTATTTTGCACGTGGGCAGCAGTTAGTGGTAAACAGTACAGCTGCTATGGATGAGCCCAAACTAAGGTGTGGCTTTTACCCTTGCATTTTGCAAGGTGATTTTGCACTATAGATAGATCAGATCCTCCAGCAGACACACATGCATGTGAGCTCTGGTCTTTCACCTTTGTAAGACCCAAACAACATTGGCCCAAACCTGTTCATTCCTACACAGCAGTTACTTAGTAAAAAGATTCACTTATTTTACCTGTGGTAGACAGAATCTTAAGTATTTCAAGTGAACTCATAGTGAAATACCCCTGTCTCCATATGCCTGTTAGTTATGTCACATTTCTAAGTGAACTACACCACAGTGCAAAGCCCACGAGACATAGGAACCAGTGAAAAAATACCTCTTTTATTCTGGTCAAGATTAAGGTCTGTTTGTAAGAAAAAAGTGGAGTTAGAGGAAAGAAAAAACAAAGGTCTTTAATTCTATTACATCAGCTCATTAACTAACACCATTATGAAATATCCTAAAGGAGAGTCAGAATTTAAGAACTAAAAAAAGACCTAAGGTAGTAAAGTACTCATTCTTTCCAGGAATAAACTAAATATAAAAGTATGTCAAAAACTAGTATTTTCCAATTCAAGGCACTGAAAATACTTGCACTTTTCGATTTAAGTTAGCCACATACTCCTTTCAGGTGATATTTTAAAGGCTTGCTCTACAAAGCTTCAGAAGATGCTGCCCTTGTTTAAACTAGGTCAATAAATCAGATGAGAAATTCACTCCAGGTTCCACATGCCTCTGACTGAATTTGTGAAGGAAACCTTGGGCAGCAGCACACTTTGGAGGTGAGCTAAGCAGCACTTGATAAAGAGGAAACATTTTGGACAGCTGTTCTTTGATCGTATTTATGTTCTTCTCATTTGATATTATTTGCACTGCGTGATAGATGTACAAGGTGTTCTTTGAGCAAGCAAGGCTGGTCCTGGCTCTGGGGAGGTTCAATTTCAGCCCAACGAGCTGTAACACGAAGGAGCCTAGGACAAGAAGAGGCTTGCATGGGAAGGAACGAGATGACAAGGCACAGCGGAAGGAACAGGGAGCAATTTAATCCAGAGGCAACACAGGAGCGAGCAGCAAAGGTCATTTGCCTACTGCAAGGGTGGTGAGACAAAAGCAGCAACAGAGACCAGGTAAAATGGCTGCAGACCTCGTAAGACCTGAGGGGAGAGCAAGATCTGACTTGGAGGAGCGAGATACACTGACCAACTAGTCCAGGGGCCACGGTCACAAGATGGGAGAGTCTCCAGTTACAGACAAGAGCTTGGCAGGCAGAGAGGATAGTGAAACAGGGAGCGCAGCTTAAACCACAAGGCAGAGGACAGAAATCTAGAATAAGATGCAATGAAAGAGCTGTCAACTAGGAGGGCTGGGAGGTAAAAGAAGCTACTTCATTCTGCTGGACTGCAGGAGTGTTAGGGAAAAGCTAGTGATATTAAAATTAACCAGCTAGCTGAGACTATACGCTCAGAGATGGCAATTAAAGCTATGACAGTCAAGGAGGTCTTATGTATATATAAGGTACAAAGGAGAAAGAGAAGGTCAAGGGCACATCCTTGATGGGGAACGGGGCTAATCACTCCTCTAAGTTTCTCTTTGGATGAAGTTTGGTCTAATTAGCATTGAAGTTCATACCACAGTGCCTGACATCTCAGAGCCACATGAGCAGCAAATCGACTGCAGGACACGTGAGCTGGGACGCAGCCCTAGCAAAGCTGCCCAGCCCAAGCCCAGCGGCAGCAGCAGCTCCCTCTGCTCGCGTGGGGACGCAGCGGGGCCACGTGGGAGCACGCGAGCCAAGCGCGACCCCTGCTCTCTGCACTGCTCCGTCACTGTCCGAGCGCCTGGAGAGCCAGGGCCCTGGTTAATGTAGAAGTCAGCTGGATCGAGCTGCAGGAGGTCACCCAGCTGTGGGCTGAGGGCACATCCTGACTCTAGGAGGGCAGGCCATTAACAACACAGAGCAGGAGAGGCAGCGCAGAAGCATCACTAACACCGAGCACAAAGGACCCGCAAGCTCCTGCCCGACGCAAGGGCACGCAGCAGGGTTTCACAGACACGGCCCTGGGGCACAGGGCGCTGCTGTCACCCAGCGACTGCCCCACGACCCAACAGGTGAGCATCAATTCCTCAGAGTGGCTGCCAAGGCAAGCAGCCAGGCGCCCTTCATGGCCACATCGTGTAGCCAGATGCTTCCTTACCTGCTGCCACCAGCTGCACTCGATTACCAACTTGCCACTTGCACCCTGAAATACCTGCCTTGGTGCAAGGAGGTTGCACCAAGTTTCCACGTGGTCTCTACAGTACACACAGAATTGATTCTAATGCGATTTAACAGTTCAGCTTCTGTAGAAAGTGTTCCTGGCCAAGCTTTTCTTCTTCTACTCCATTACAAACACACATACACTCCTTTTTAACTTGGAATTGGAGCCAAAATGGAGTTAGCACAATTGCATTGGCAGCATATTTACCTTTTTCTGTCTAATCTCCTACCTGCAATGTGGTGCTCTGATCAGAGAATGGGGAGCTGAAGAAGGTGGTGACTATACTCATCACTATTTCCGTAACGTACTTCTCCAATATGGAGTCAGCGTGCTTTCTGTCACTGGTGTTGTTGCAAGCCTGCAAGACAGTTCATTCACATATCAGAAGCAGCTCAACCAAGACAGCCTGATAAGAATTACAGCCTGGAACTCTTGCTTTTGCATTGTTCTAGTCCGTGCAACTGCCTGTCGTGATGATATTTATGACGCTGGGATCACACACAAAAGCAGAAGCCCAGAACAACTGCTGCTTCAGTGTGTTGGCATATAATATGCTTAGGAGGGAGGAAAAAAACAGAATGCCTTAGAGGAAAAAGTAGTAGGGTAGGGAGGACTGAGGTGTAATGCTTTCGTATGGGGAAATACTTGGAATCCCAGGCAAAAAGCCATATGGCCATGCAAATGCCAAGCTTGAAAAAAATCTGTCCTGACCTGCCAAAAACCGTTGACTATTGCTCAGGAAGGAGCTAACTATCCTGGCCACAATAAGCAAGCCAGGTGGCAGAGCAGTAAAAGGCATCAGACAAAGGAGTAGGGTGTGGGACTTGAGCATTTTGCTTTTTAAAAGGAAAATATTAATGTGTTCCATGGAATATGACTAATGAAATCCACAGGCCTAAGGAAAAGGAGGCACGTATAAATGCAAAGCAGCAGAGCATCAAGGGCATTTAGTGCCCCTGTGCACTGCTACAGTTTACTCCTACTGCTACCTACTAGTTTCATTTATGCTTTTTGATTTCAGTTCCTAGATACAGAAGTCCTTACCCGACAGATGTCAACCAGGAAGTTCTCAAACAGCTTCCACATATGATTACTGGTGTAAATCTCTTTCATTTCTACTTCAGTGTCCACATAGCAATGATTCAAGAAGTTGATGTATGCAATTTTAACCTAGAAGAGCAGAGAGGGGGAGCCATTAAAAAAAACCCTGAATGGTACTATGAATGTATTTAGTGCCATAAAACTGCTCTATAAATCATTTATAGCTCAGTTTCTTCCTTTTATTTAAGCACTGGTGAAATTTAATGCCATGAATAGCAAGACATCATCCAACAAAAAAATGCCAGAATTATTGCAGACAAAACGTCAGCATAATAATCATTTCCAGTTCTGCAGAACCATCTGTTCAAGGTTAGCAGTAAGCTCCATAACACCCCTCCTATTACCACCACCTCCATAACCCAACAAGTCCAGCACCACAGTCCCACTTTAAGGGCAAGCTAATTAGTGCAAAAGGATTTAGCTGCTGTACAAGCTCACCCAGGTCACCTAGACAGAACAGGACAGGAATACACCTTTCAGCTCACGGTTCACCTGCCCCACTGCTCTTCCTAGGCCAGGTACAGTGATGTCAAATACACGCAGGTTAGTGCCTCCAAACAGCCCTCACCTCAGGTATGCAGTCTTCATGGGTTACTACCCTAACAATGTCATCCAAGGGAAGGAGAGAGTTGCATTTGATTTCTGTGTAGACATTTTTGCCTTCTGTGCACACAGCCAGCAGTTCTACTAGGTGGATATGGTACATCAGCGGGCTGTTTTCATCCATCCGATCTCTCTCCGATCTCATCATTTGCACCAAAGTCTGGAAGGAAGCTCTGTCATTGTAAAACACCAGGACATCTTCTCCTGCGTTCACCAGCTACCGAGAAAGAAAAATATTCCATCAGCAGATCAAAGCCCGTGCCTTTCCCCACAGCATCCTCCTCTAATCTGAGAGCTGACCATTACAGCACAAATCCTGATTAGCTATTCTTTAGAAAATTAAAAGGAGCCCAGCCCACCAAGTCAGCTTGACATTCCTCTTCATAGGGTAGATGGCTCAAATATTCCTGACATTTTCCTTTAAAGAATTTACCACTTCTAAACTGCTGAAGAACTTCAAAGTCAGTTCAACTGCCTAGACAGAAGTTGTGCCAAGAAGCTTGTGACTCTCCGTTGTGCTTTTTCACTTCACACACGTCTCCTCAGCTGACTCGGGCTCCGCATGCCCGCTGCAGACGTGCCCTGGGTTCAGAGAGTGCCCCTGGGCACGCCGCACAGGAGGCTGCCGGGCTCCACAATTCCGCCCTTCTCAACAAACACCATCCATTTTGCAAGACTGCGACACGTTAAGTGGCACAATGAAGATCTCTATCAGCTTCACATCTTAGACCTGATTTTCAGAATAGCTCAGACCTCCCATTGCACCATCCCAGCCCTGGGAACGTGTTCAGCCTGGGCACGCAGGCCCTGAGCTTGAGACACTCGTTTGTACAGAGGCCGGGGCACACGGCTAGATGGAAGGTATAAGCAAGGTCTCCTTAGCAGTGCTGGCCTCCATGGAGGCTGAACACGGAGCCTCTTGCAGGCATGACTTTGTGGTGGGATGCTCACAAAACCACTTCTAAACTGAAGCACAAAACTTTAAAGACATGGATCCATCTAATAATATCAACACGCATAAGGCAGAACTTGACAAATCTGATCCTCGGGCTCCCCCTGCTGAGGCGGCCAACACGTGTCCCCTCCCCAGAGAGGGAGGGCATTGCCACAGGCATCACCCTCCAAGTCTACCTTCAAGGGATCTACTCATCCTTCCCTTATCTCACCCTCCTGTCCTGATCTATCAAGTTCTTCCCGGTACTGATATACTCACATATCTGAGGACAACTTTTTTTCTCCCTCAGCCCTTAGGACTCATATTCAAATGTTAAGGATGAAGGAGAAATTCCCATCAAGACACTCTACTGTCATGGTCAAGTTTTCCATCTGCATTAGGAATCTTGAAATTAAGCTTTCTGATATAGCCAGTTTTCCTAGAGAAAGACACTCTTCCTTCACCATACTTCCTGCACCAGTACTTTGCCCTGTGCAAGTCTGGAAATAACTTGCAAGTATTATTGACAACCAGCCCTTGCTATACCTGCAGGCAACAAGCTGAAAGTACTTTTGGTCACAGGAAAGCCTGTGCTTTGGGGGAGCTGTATGCTCTTTTTGCTTCATGAGCACTAGCTGTCAGGTTCTTGGCACTCCCAGAAGCGAGAGGATCAATTTGTCACTTTTACCAAATGCTATGTGAAAACTTCTGCACAGACCTTGCAAATCTGTGCAGCTCTCACCTCAGCCATTACCATATCTTGGCATTTCTTAATGAATTTTCCTTCCGCCTTGACAATTGTCTGCAGGAACTTTATGTACTGAACGTTTCTGCCGTGTGTTTCTATACAGTGGACAAAGTGTTGAACAACGCGTTCATTAATCTCGCTGCAAAGCTGGAAGTTGTTCATGAAAATGTGTTGCATTGTTACTGCTTCCAGAATCTAATGATAGGGATAAAGAAAGAAATTAAACACATAAGCCACCAAACCTGGAGGTCAGGATCAAGTCAACACTTCTGTAGGGTACGTGACTATAAGGAACTTTTTGGAGGATCCAATCCTCCAGCACAAAGACTTGTATCTGAGGCTACTTTTCAGTCTGCTTCAGCTTTGAACTTTCTACAAGGAGTCCTAAATACTTCTTGCCAACTTTCTAGGCTTTTGAATGAAAATAAAATGTGAACCCTTCAACCAATCTTGCGTCAGAAGGGACCCAGAGGCAATCAGCAAGGACGATCTGTTTTCTTTTCCTGTGTGTGGAGGTGAAAAAAATATATAGTATGAAGTTATTCTTACCCCTGGGTTAAGAAACAGGTTTATGTGCTTGTGCAGCAATGCCTGGTTCTGTTGGTTTCCAGCACAAAAGTTCTGTAAAAACTCATGTGCAAGCTTCATTATCTCCTGCATCCTCGTGTCTTCAGCCTGTGGGGACATGACAGAAGAGAGGGTTAAGGAGAAGCAGAAGGTTCACTCTCAGGTGAGTACACTGCCCGAGCCTCCACTCCAGCTCTGCAAGAGAACTGTCACGTCTCGCTCACACTCTAAGGAAAAAACAAGCCTCCACCCAGCTCACAGACATGAGGGATGTATTTGGCATGCTGAATGGTTTTAAAGATCATCAAAAATAAAGACCATAATAGAAATTACAGTAGTTTATTCTCTAGAAATTCACAGGACCAGGTCTGCCAGCAACGTGCTCTAGTCACTTTTACACTTCTGAACATAGCAGTTTGCACGCCAAGCCACACATCACCACCTTGGGGCTGCATCGGAAAACTGCCGTGTTCCGCTGAAACGCGACAAATAGGTAGTTTATGGCAAAGAAGTGATGGAAAGTTATTACTGCAACAGTTAAGCAGAGTTTATATTTACTGGAATCTGCACACTATTTGCATGCTTCCAAGTACAGTTCAGGAATCGGTGCCTTTCCTCTGACATCAGTGCAGATTACCAACCCCAGTGGTATAAAACACAGCTTGGAAAAAAAATATTGGTGTCTGCTTTTATTTTTAAGGAGATACATACTTGACCAAGGGTAAATCACCATCCACGCTCCCTGTCCAACAGCATATTTGTACATATGAGCAGAATGGTGACAAGAGGTGCTGGAGGAGCTGTCTTGGATTTTACTTTTGGTGGGCAAAATATGAATCAGGACAAGACAGGACTCAGGCTAACATTATTCAAACCTATAGTCTGGAATTGCTAGTTCTCAGAAATCTGGGGATTTTGGAAGAGAGGACCACTGAGTAGCAGTAAAAATGTAAAGAGCTTCCTCACACCTATGTAATATCTGTACTGGAGACTAATGTGCAGCTAAGGCAATCAGCTGGGAATGTGCTAAATCAGCTTGGTGCAGCACCATGCAGAGATGCAGGCAACCTGGGGCTCCGCCTGTACAGCTGACATATTACAAACACTACATAGTATGGTTATGAGCAGGAGACCTCTCCTTGGAGAGTCAACTGATTTTTATTCCATTCTGAAGGGGAGTTTGGGATCCCACAATTGAGGCAGGAACTGGGGGGCTGTGTCTGTGTTTGCAAACCACTGGGCAGGACCCAGGTATCTGCAAATACGCTGCTGGGAGCTCCCACAGCAGCCTGGCTGGCTGTGAAGGTGCTTGAGGGCTCTCACAGCTACTTCACAGCAATAGCTAGTGCCTTGGTTTCACTTGAAGGTAGCCTGTGTCCTATGGAAAACTGAAGTTAAGCCTTAGTCTTATCCCAGGGTTCAATGGACAAGTATTTGTTCAGGAATTAGCATCATGGAGTGCTGTGTATTCAAAGACTGCAAAGAGACAAAAGCTTACATAAGCTCACAGTTATTTCTGAATCACAGATACTGAAAACAGCTTCCTCGAACCCAGCATAGAGGTGGAAAGTTTGGGAGGATTCAGTGGAGTTTGAGAAGCTAGTCAAAAGGCAGGCACTAGCTGCAGAGACCCAACCTTTTCATAAGGGATCTGCAAGAGCTCCAGCACAACCGTGTGAGCGCCCATGTTCCTCAGAAGCCTCTGCTGCTGCTTCCGGCTCTTCCGGACCGAAGCGCTTTCCTGAACGCAGAGCTTGCTAAGCCGCAGCAGGATCTGCAGGAGAGAGCAGCTTTAAAACTCAAGCTCTGCACTTGATTTCAGAGCACATGGCAGGTGGTTCCCTGCAAGAAGGCAAATCTGAACAGCCCAGAGCAGCTCTGGCCTGTCAGCAAAACCAAGGGCTGGGGATTCAAGACAAGGAGTGCAGACCAGACCAAGGCCTGGTTGTTCCTGCAGTGCAGACGGACAGAGGGGAACCATGGGCTGGGTCATAGGCGAAGTGATCAGAGCGAGCAGCTGTTTTATCACATGACAATTCACCCACCACAGCAGTAGCCATTTCTTTAACTTGCTTTGGCCCAGCAAAATCCAGCCCTGTAAAGTTAAGGCAGCATCTGGCTCAGCAGCACAGTGCCACAGGACACCCATTAGCTCACAGCACCCGAGTGCCAGCACAGGCTTCGCCTGATATTTTTCAGCTCTAACTTCAATAGCACAGGGTTTCTGGACACAAGCTACTGGGGACTGGGCAATTTAAATAGCTTTTTGACTGGCTTCCTTCCTTTAGAGCCTTCAGTAATAAAAATATTGTGTTACCATTGAAACAGCAACATCATGTTGCATTTTTCACTAATCCATTCTTAAGGAAAGCATATACATGCTGGGCTTATTGTATTCCTGGCTTCTCATTCAAGGGATATGTTATTACTCAGCAAATAGTTTCCACAGTGGAAGAGCGACTCAGATTTTCCTGGGTGTCTCCCTGTGACTGCAGCGATTCAGAGCTGCCTTACTCACTCACACTCCCATTTAGCTCCAAAGAAGCAGAAGTTTTACCTCTTTGACTACACGGTAGTTGTAGCTGCTAGTACTTTCAGGTTTTTGTGACTTGCTGTGACCTTCCTGTAGATGAAAATCAGACAATTTATTAGTAGCTTGCAGTATTTTCTCCCTGAAGACTAAAGTTACTGTTCTATGGTTCTGTTCTAGCTCTCTTCCTGGAAAGAACTGCCATCCTTCAATTAGCTGACAATCTCAGAAAAACAGGTATAAATGATCCTGTCAAGTTACACTGACCTCTCTAACACAAGGGTAGAATGATTTCACAGTCAGTAGCCTCCTGTCCGTTCAGTTGTAATATTGTGTCTGCAGTCACGCTCCCCCCTCAAACTTCCAACTTTCTCTCCATGTAGTATAATTAAACTGCAATTATATCCATGATGAAAGATGCCTCACAGTACTATGCATGGAAAGCAATGAGTAAACTTTCAACAATGTAGACTTGCAATGTACCTTTTTTATTTTAAATCATAGCTCTAGGAACAGTTACATTTAAAAAAACAGAACACTAGCATATGAATTTGAGGAAACAATCTAATTACCTCTTTTTTCTTGTGCTCGTTTTCACCTTGCACTCCATCCATCGTCTCATCAGGACCCTGGCCTTTGTATACCCAAAGCTCTGATTTTTCCACAATAGACCTCAGCTGGTCCAAATCTTGCTTTATCTGCTTGTAGTTGTCAACATCTTGGCTGGTAACAAGCAGTTGAACCTTACATGAAGACAAGCCATTAGTTGCACAAATAGACATTTAAGATGAAACATACACATTCAGATGAGGAATAGTGCATACAGTTGGTCCATGTACCTGTTTAAATGCTTGAAGGACTTCTTGTCTTTGACTAAAATGCCGGAAAAGCAGCTGAAGCGCTCCCGACACCAGAGGGGGATAATCATGCATCGTTAAATGCAACAAAACTCTGAGAAACGTTCTGCCACCATGATCATCCAAATCCAAGGGTGTATTCTCCTCACTGAAAACAGAGTAGGAATTAACTAGCAAATCGAAGTTAATGTCCCAGGCAATTAAGTCCAGTCTCCTGTGGTAGGAAAATTACTTTTTTTTTTTTAAACTTTTTAACCAGGAGGCAAAACTTATCAATGCCTAGTATTAACCTTTTCACATAATGCACAGAATACAGCCCTAGCTCAGTTTGCAAGCTGCAGTGCTGATTGTCAAGAAATTCTAATCCTCTTTCCTCTGCACCTCTCCCTTCTGAGCATGCAAAACTATGGAAGATTTTGGCATCAGTGACCCCAAGTCTCTCTTGCATTCTACATCCAATCAAGTCTGCACACTGAGATTAGAGATTCTGGTTATTCTGTAAGTTGATCTCTTTCACCTTTCACTACCCAAAACATCAGTGATTCAGGTTTACAGAAAAGGAACTGCAGCTCCAAACAACTTAAAGGCAGTTCAAATGTTTTATTGTGCTTTGACAGATAAGTAGCAGAAGAGCAGGATAAGCTCCAGAACTTCAAGTTTGCCTTTGACTTGCCATCCTGTGATTCAGGAAGGGATGTAAGTAACTCTAAAGGAAAGGTAGGTATTGAAAGTACAGCTTACTTTGTCCTGTCACGTATGTGCAGTTTAACATTGTATTATACAAAAAGCAAGGCTAGATATATTCCTGTATCAGTGAAAGTCCCAATCCTTGCCTACAGAAAATTCTCCACTTAAGATTTTACAGTAGTATTCAGCTTAGATGCACTAACCCTCCAGTGTCCCTCTCATTCACACAAGTGAAACACTCCCATGAAGATCCTTCTGGCTGAGGACAGATCACCTATGCCTTATTTGCATCTTTTAATCCATATGGATGTTACTTTGAGCTGTATCAAAGCCATTTCATGAAAATGAAGCCTAGGTAAGCATGGCAACTGCTTCCAGCCTTTCTCCAGTATTGCCTCAACTTTCCATCGCATCTCTGCTGAGCCTAGCAAGGGCTGCAGCCTGGAATCTGAATCACTGTAGCACAGTTACCGCTAGTGAAAAGATACTTGCCTTCCACCAAAGATGCCCTCAGCTTGTTCTTCAATATGCTCAAAGTCCAGGGCTCCTGTGAAAACAGGAGCAGACGGATAAATTATGTCGGAGCTGCACCGAAGACATTTTTGCAGCCTAAAACATTTTGCGCAGTAAGTGGTTAGGCAAGTGTTAGCAGGGGGGCTGTAATGTGCTGAAAGGAGCACTAGGATTACTGAAACAATCTGGAGAGCTAACATAAAGCAATAAATTAACCTGGCCTCAGCTCACAAATTAAACTGTATAATCACTGCAGCAACATCCACCATTAGTCCCTTCTCTATTTTTAGATGATACTGCCAGCATTTAAAGATGCTGGTGGGAATTAGGGTTATTCCGAGAGGGTCACCCACAAACATGCTCAACTTCAGCTATGAAAAGCTCTAACCAATAAACTGACAGCAGTTTATTGCCTAATAAGCAATAAGCAGAAACAGTAACACCAGAATACCACCGTGGCTCCAGAGACAAGGAGCTCTCTGCATTTCTCAGTGTAAGGTACACATTACCACACCGACTGTAATATTCTGGAGAAAGATAAAGTAAAACAGTGCTTGGCTTTTTTCCTCTCAAGAAGTTTACCAGCTACATACTGCATCACAAACGTGCATTTCTTCCCTCTGTGTTGCCCCAGTGCTCGTTGTGACCAGCTGAAATTAGACAGCCTAATCTGAACATTGCTGGGTGTGTTAAGCTATAAACCAGTTAAATTACAAGACCTACTGGGTATGAAAGGCAATGAAATAAGAAAAGTTTGAATTAAAAAAATAGTAAGTTCAAAATAGAGAAAGACTTTTGTTAAATAGTCTTCTACAACTTAACACCTGTGTACAAAGTATTTACCCCCTTCCAAAGTTCAGCTTGCCATGTAATAACTCAGATTTGTAAATTGCAGCGAGTCCTCCCCAGTACAGATTCTAGCTACAAAATACTGTTTTTCCCATGGAATGTGACAGAGCAGTTAACACCACTCTGTGTGCATCTCCCCCAACACAAACTCACTCTTTGCAAAACCACCAACCTGGTACATTAGCTGGCAGATCCTGACTGCTGCTTCCAGTGGGCGATTCAGACATCTGGGCATTACTTTCATCAAATTCATGCTTAAATATACACAGCAGGCAGGAGATTCTGTAGTCCAACCTCACATTCAAAATAAACTGATACAGAAATAGTAAGAATGTTAAAATAATTTGTCCATGTAGCACATAAAACCTGCACATACACAGTGCTACTAACATACAAGGTCTGCCTAGTAAAAGCATGGATATCCCTTGAAGTACATGAAAGCATTTCTTAAAGTTTTCCCAAATTCAGGATTTTTGGGGGGATTCCATTGACACAATAGTGATACGCATAGTGTAGCAAATATGTAGGAATAAAGGACTCTGACAGAGAACACAAGAAGTTCTTCCTACTTCAGGGGATAATATTTAATATTAGTATTAAACTCATGAGAACGGGGGGAAAACTGGCACACTAGAATACCTTACTGCACCTTACCAGGCCATATATAAGAAGTTCTGGATTTAACTAAACTTAGAGCTATCAGAAGGAAGGGAATCAAGCCTCCTCCAGGCACCGCAGGTGCTGCTGAGCAGAAAGGCACACGCTGGGGGCAGCGACGTGCGGAGCCTCCATGGAGGGCAGGCGCCCCGCGGCCTCCCCGCTGCGCCGCGCGCTCGCGCCCACGGCCGCTCTGCAGCACTGGGGCTCAGGAGCATTTGCCCAAGAAGTTACCAAACAGAACGGAGACTTGGCTTTGAGGTAAGGAGAGAATCACGGGGGGCGGTTTTGCTTTTTTTGTGTGTAATGCTTTTGTGGGAACTACATCAAGACAGGGCTGTGGGAAAGGGGAAAACCCTTTTGTCTTCCTGCCCAGAAGATTTAGGACTGAGCCACTATAAAAAACAGAAATGGAAGATACTGAGGCTTGGGAACACGCAGGTACAAGGGACGTTCCAGGCTGATAAATGCACAAGTCTTGAGTACCAAGTATATACCCTTCCTTGGGCACTAGTCAAGACAGTAGCTTCGCTGAATCTACAGGGCTAATATGGTAAGGGAAGTACAAGCTCTCAGCTTCAGCAAACCAAGTATTTACAAGTTACATTAAATATGCAGAACTCGATTGCAAACTTTTCTATTACATTGTCTCATCCAGGTACCACCCACACAAGCTACAACTCCAGGCATGACATAACACGGCCACACATTAGAAGAGCACTGCGGGCCAGGAAGCACCACCCTTGCAACGCTTCACCAGGCAGAGACACAACAGGGCCAGAGCGACTGAAAGGCACTGCCTCAATGCAGCAGACAGAGCATGCGCCACCACATGAGTCTGTGCTCCTCGAGTCCTTGTTACCTGGAGTATTTCAATGATCTTCAGCTTAGTATCCATTACCAGGATGTCTTCTTTCTCGGGTTCGCTCTGCTTGACATTGCCTTCGGGAGCAGCAGCGAGAGGGGTCATAGGGAGGAACCCGCCACCTCGGAGCACCACCTGGGTCATGAGCTCACCAACACCATGGATTGATCTCATCACATTGCTCCCTTCAGAGGGGTAAACATGCAAAGTTAGAACAGTGCTAGGGGACTGTATTAACAGGGCAAGGAGGAACTGTCTCAACATTAAATACTTAAATCCATGAAGCAGATGGACATCAACAGGCACTATAGGATATTTAAACCCATCTGCCCTCTCCTTCCACCCCAGCCAACACTCAGTTCTACAGTTAGGCCTTCCATGGATGGAAAAGTAAAGAAGTTTGGGAAACCATCTGATGTTTGAGATAAAGAAGAAGCCACCAATGAATGCTCCATTCTACCAGTCATTTTCCCCTTACCTTTACTTTCCTCGCCTTTTGTCATCTTGGTAATAGGGAAGATTGTAGTGATATGCACACAGTCTAATATAGCAAGGAGGATTTTGGTTAGTCTGAGGAGGTCACAAAAGTTGTAGAAACCAAAATATATCAGATTTCTGGCCAGGTTAACCACCTACCAAAAAAAAGAATAACAAAAATTCTGATTAATACTCAATGTTTCATTATCAAAGTCATCTTACAACAGTAAAAAGATTAACCTGTCAATGTTACTCTTACTACACTATCTCATAATTCATTGGTATTGTATAATTCTGCAGTTCATCAGCAAGTTTGCTACTTGTCCAACATATTGCAATGCCTAGCATAGAGGTGTCTGCCTGCAGCTCATATCCAAGCACTTGATACAAAGTTTTATCATATTTGTCATGTTACATAAAAGACGAAGGAAAGTACAGAAGTTGTTTATTTTTAACAGTAATAATAAAGTCTGAGTAAAATGTGCTGTTATGATGTGACTGAGTTTCCTCTCAAGTCCTTCATATATCCGGCTTCAAAATATTCATAAATAATCAAATAATGTGAAATATAGTGCAAATCATTTAACATATCTCCACCTACTCATCACCTGAGGCAAATCCTTCAAACATCTGCCTTTTCTTTTTAAATCAGATGTCTTTTCATAAATGATCCATTATTTAGGGAACAATATTGTGTGTATGTGCTACATTTTATTTGCACAGACTCCTATTTTAGATCATCTAGTACAGCACAGAAGACTGCACGGTTCTCAATCAGCAAAGACTAAGCTCTAGAGAATATCCCCTCGTGCAGACATGGCATTTAGCTTAGTTTTCAAGAATATTTATGCCAGTAAAGCTTGACTTTGTAATCACACTGACAGCAGAAAAAGTAAACAAGGCTGCTGCAAATCTAAGACATAAGTTCACATTCATTAATTGTATTTCAAGAACCAAGAACTATCACAAACTTCACTGGAGTTGCTTGCAGGAGAATGAGCTATACTTGAAAGGAAGAGCCTGCTGAGGTTAGTGCTCACTTGTTACTTGCCAATCTACCCAGTCCTTCAAGTATCAACAGGTCACAAAAAAAGAAAAACTAAAAATAAAAATTGGATAGCTACCTCAAAAGTGAGCTTATTTTTCTCTTTATCAGAGAAGGGGAACCTCTGACACACCACATCTCTTAAATACTCCTCTACAAATTCCATTGTTTGTGCAAATCTCTCCTTAATTTCATCTTTGGAAGTTCCACTGCTATCATAGCTGAAGAGGGAGAAAAAAAAACAAACAAAACTTAGCATGCACATACACAGGGTTCCCCCAATATGGTTTTTATTTGGCTTGTCAAAAATCTAAGCAAAGTTAAAGGCTGTTTAACAACTGATCCAAATGGAGGAGTCAGGAAGCTGACACCATAGTTTCCTGGCTTTTGCTGTTTTATCCCATATGCTCATTTTGTACTATTTAAAAACATCTGAGAAAAACAAAAAAAGAATTTGTCCAATAAAAAGAACCCCCTTTTTATTTAAATGGAAACAGTGAAAAGTTATATACAACATCAATAAGAACAGATACGGCCAAGAGATACTGATTGTGGATGCCATTATTGCTAAGAAAACTAATAAAAAGAGTGAGCCAACTAGAATTCTGGGTTTTTTTTTTCAGTACAAATCCTAGTTTTGTTTCCAGAGTGTGCAGAGAACATATAAAAAAGAGGAATCCCCATCACTATTCAATTAACTATTTTCCCCCACACACTTTTGATAACACACCACTCCATTGCCTCAGCCAGAGCTTAAGCCATTTGTTTTTCTATTTTGGCATTAACTCCAAATTAAGATTTTTTTTTTTTAAAGAAATACAACGCTTAATATGATCTATTGCATTTTAGAAAAGCAAGCTAGGTTAGCAAAGAGGTGAAAAAGGCATCAAAAAGCATGAAGAAACGAAGCCCGAGTACTAACACTGAGAAGACATAAAAGTTGCAACATTTCACACTAAACATTCAATCCCTTCATATCAATGGTTTTCATCAGGCAAATGCCAGATTTCGTACTACAAAGACTACATATGAGCCCACGGTCAAGAAATTAGGTCTACAGCGGAACTGCGCTTTTGTTTAGATTTTTGCTACTATCCCCAAATCCTGCCAATGGGAGGTTAACGAACACAATTTTACCCAGCACACCACTTGTTACAGCCTCTTCTCCCTTGATTTTCTTGTTGATGAGGCTAGCTACTGTATGGACAGTTTACCCTGAAGAATGTACTTGCAACACAAAACAAAAGCATGAGAAGGAAATGCAAAAATTTGCTGCTCTTCCCCAGGACAAGGTCACCCGGCCAGAGCAGCACCGTGACCCCAGCCCCTTTGGGAAAAACACTCCTACTGCCTTGCAGCTTGCCCCGCACATACACAGCGAGGTCGCTTGCTACTTGAGAAGGTGGTTCTGAGCAAGCACTATGGGCAAACGAAGCTGCAAGGGCTTGAATATCAGAATTAGTGAGACTACTCTTAAGATTTACTTTTCTCTTTTGGAAGAAGAGCAGCCTAAATGCTACTTTAGTGTAGAACTGGTCATGTCATTTCCTTTCCCACACCTTTCCAGCAAGCACTTACTCATCAATGGCGATTTCCGAGGGTATCTCAGACCAGAGCCGCGCGTACTTCACCGGCGTCACCTGCTCCTGGGGGTCACGATCCACGTGCATGTGGAGCATGAGCCGGCAGAAGGACGCCCTCAGATCGTACGGCAGGTTTTCATCAGACATGCAACGGAGAATGAGGTCCACGTCCAGCTGACCAGATATTTCATTTATGGCCAGGTACTGTCGGTCAAGGCACATTCTAGCAAAGAGGTTTAGCTGGTATCTTTGGGAGGGGAAAAAAGGCAAATAAACAGCTTGCACTCATTTCTGGGAGCATCTGCTGGGTACAGTATTAATACACCCCTGTAAGCTTCACTCTATTGATGCATATGTTTTACAAGAGTTTGGTAATACTCTTTTTATAATTATTATAGCTGTGTTATGGGAAAAGGTAGAAAAGTAGAAAACAGAATACAAGCATCTTATTTTCCTGACAATTGTATAGGATTAAGTAATGCTATTGAGGAAAGCTATAGAGGAATTCCAAAAAAAACAAGAAATCAGCCTAAGTACTGCAGAGGACTGAACACTTCTTATTGATGCTCAAGCTAAATTAGTTCACTTAAGCAAAGGAGATGGACTATAGAATCATTTAAAACTAAGCACATGATAAAGCATACCACTGAGGTCTGCTTCCTTCAGTCAGAGGAGTGGACAAAAGCTAAACTTCATTCTTAAGCTTTTCAGCCCACAAATATAGAGCAATGACACAAGTTCAACATATGTGCAAACCAATTTTTAGTCACAAAACAGCTGTCCAGCATTCACAAGTGTTCAAAAAGGCTTGTGCTGAGGAGTGTCAACTATAAGGTTTCTTAAAAATTGAGATTTAATTGAGAACAGGCTCCTTTTCACTTTAAGTGCTCCTCAAGAGAATTTGAACAAAATCCTTGTTCTGAGCGCATGCATTAGTCTATAACAGAGTAGAATGAAATAAGAACATTAGCAATCTTGCTAAAAAAGCAAGAAAGTCCATTCCAAAAGCAGACAGATTTATAAATATATTATAAAACAAGACTTCTTTGAGCAGAACCTGCTAATAGGCCCCAAAAAGTATATATTAGGAGGTTTGATATATGAACCATTTCAACGCAACAGAATGCGAATATATATATATGCTAAAAAAATAGTTGTACTTTCTGCACTACCACTGTTAAGTCTGTCAAAGTATTTTCAGGAGTTTATAACCCAGACATAGGAATTTGGTCTGGCCTGAAACTTGATCTTACATCGTGCCAAGAACTTGGTGTCTTGTCAAGTCATCTGGAAACATCGCTTAAGGCTCGAAGCTGCTCAAAGCATAGCTTAGGCAGTACAAAAGAGCACTGCATTAATCACTGCAAATTTCTTGTAGTTCTCAGCAGGACAATATATGACCTCATGAAAATGCCACAAGACTACTGAAGGCTTTGAGGTTAAAGAGAAATTTAGCAGGCAGAGAGAAAAGCAACAAGTTCTTTAACATTAATAGTAAGGCCATTTGCAAGCTGGAATTCTCTTCTTCCTGCAAGTGCTTGTCCAACCCATCTACTATATGAATTTAGGTTGCCTAAACAGTTAACATACAGGCTCTTCTTGTGATAATACCCATATCATTAGGGAACCAAGCAGAAATACAAGCAGTAAACGCTGCTTAGTTTCAATGTGACTAAGCCTTAACTGTTTTTAAAATCAGTTCAGGCTTGCTCATACTGGACTTTTCATCCCAAGTAACTTGGTGCTTTTAGCTCACACTTCAAAGAGACTTCATCTTCACTCTAATGGCTGTTTTGCCCACTAAGCCAGTATCTTTGAGAATCAGTTAAAGTCTATGTAACTGAAGGCCTCCCCCCACGGTCTTGATGCACTTCCCTAGCCAACTACTGCACATGCTGTTAACCTGTAATAGCTGAGTACGTCCCGATCTTCCTTCTGCCCTTCCTTAGCATCCTGAGCCAACTCTCTGATACTCTTACTGCGGATTTCCTTGTTACTGTCTCTCCAGAACAGCCACACTTCTTCCTCATCTTCTCCAACTTCCAAGGCATTTTCTCCACTTGACACCTCTTCAAACTCAAACCGAGAGAGGACCAACCTGCCAGAATGAAATGAGGTTAGAGTACAGACTGCCAAGACCCATGCAGATCTGAGAACTGTGCTTTTAAGACACTTGCTAAAATTTACTGGCAATGGAGAACTAATTCTATTCTGGGGAACCTAAAGGAACATGGAAGTCAAAGATAAGGCTAACTTTCAAAAGCCTCTTTACACAAGAACTCCAAATAATGAACTAGCAAAAGATCTGGTGAAAGTAGTATCTAAACTTTGAGCAGTTCCCTAGGTTAGAGGGGCAAGTTAGATTAGTTTTTTTTTTTTTCCCCCGTTTGTGACCAAAATTAGAAATTAATCATTAAAACCAAGACAGCAATTTGGTCTTTCAGTTTCTCAGAAAAAAAGGTTACGCAGCTGGACCAAATCCAAAGTCAAACACACAAGGTAAGAACAAACAAGCAGTATGGAGAGAGGGTGAGAGAATTAAATCTTGTAAGACTTCTCTCATCCATCTGGGCTTTAAACACTACCTGCTAAAGTCCCGTTTTCCTTTTCCTATATTTTGATACCGATCATCTGCACCCTGTTCCACATGTCATTACAAAGAGACAACTGGGATTCGGTGCCTGCTGTGAGCTCTGGCACTGGCAGGGTGATGCTGTGCGGCGTCAACCTCAGCTCCAACAGAAGAGGGAGAAGGGAGCGTGCAGACACATCCGCCGGCTCCGCGCCAAGCGTGACGCGCACACGTCCTAGCAGCGCTCACTTGCCTCAGTCAGCAGAGAGGAGAGGCCCAAGAAGGGACCGGCCCCATGGGACCCTGCACTTCTTCCTGCACAGCCTCCTGTACAGGAGATATCAGAAGACTTCTGCCCTCTGTGAGCTTCAGAATGCTGTTAAACCACATTCAAGGTGCAAAGCTTAAAAAAGGCACATATGCCTGCAATTTCTTCCAGAAGCCTGTCTACTTCTATCAAACATGAGGTATCTGAAAGATTTCTGTGATCAGTAGATGAAGAATGCATCTGTCAGGCATTTGCTGCCATCAATATCTACTTATTGTGCATTTGTGGAGGACCCCAAGCATTTTAACACCTTTCTCTAAGCACACCAGCATTGTTCTCAGATTTGAATCACCTTGCATCAGTTTCACACTAGCAAAGCTCTCTTTAAAGGCAAAAACTTACTTCGTTTCAATAAGTATATCTGCATTAGCTGGATTCAGTACAGCTTTACAAATCAACTCCTGTGTCACTGGAATAGACTTGTTCATGGAAACACACAGATCTGAGAGATAATCCAAAAACCTGTTGACAAATGCAAGCCAAAAAGATATCAGTTCTTCCTGAGATCTCTAGACTGAAGCAATCTATATTTCAAAGTCAGTACTCAGGACTCCAAACCAAGACTGAGTGAGACCGTTGTCCTAGAAGGACAGTGCTTCCCCACTTGACAGTGCTTACAGTGAGTGCTTCCCCAAAAAAATGAACATGCTTTCACTTACGGGTTGGTAAATACAGATTTATCTCAGAAGACCAAGATGGAAAGTCGAATCATATACTTTAAAACTCAAATCTCACCTGGGCTCCCTATTTTTCCTCACAAGGCTAACAAAAGTGTCAATCTCTGCAGCGGTGATGTGCTTCTCCAGGAGCTTGCGGTTGTTATGAAGGAGAGCTGTAATAGTGTCCTCAGCCAAAACATCATAGCCAATTTGTTTCTGCATGAAGCCAAACTGCTTGGCAATGTATTCCTTTGGGAAAAAGGGAAATAGAAAGGTGGTCTGAGTAAGTCTCAGTTTTGGGCTAGTGGAGCTGAAATAATACTAAAAAATTATGGAAATTAACAAGTCACTTGCTAATACACTAACATCCAAAGAGAATCTTGATTAGATTGTAATCCTTTTCCTCAGAGAAAGCAAACGATGATAGGTAACAACTCCCCAATACCTGGGCTAGATATCACCAAGGCATTTATTTATCTTGATATAAGTTTTTTTTTTTTTTTTTTTAAACTAACATCAACTGTATAAAACTTAATTCACAGATCAACTTTCCATGGAGTTTATATTATATATGTGTGAAGAAAATCTTAGAGTTCACCTGGATTCAACAGTTATCAGCTCTGGTTTTCTCAAATTCCCCTCAGAGCTAGTGCTAATTACATGGCATACAGTCTTGGATAGAGATGAAACGTGCTAGACAGAGAAGGATGAGCAACCCCAAATCTCTTGCTGGCTGTAGAAGCACACCGCAGCAGAGCAGGGATTAATTAATAGGATGTAACTTCATTTTTTTTTTTGAGCGCTGGAACAACGTTAGAGCCTTCGAAAATTGCAGACATATTTCCAACCTGATTCTTCCTGTAATCCTGCTGAGAGTGTCTGAGCACTCTGTAGCACAGGCGGCAGATGTGCCTGAAGGGAGCGTGACGCTGATCTCCAAGCTCCTCCAGCCGCAGCATTGGGCCATCTCCACTGTCTGTAAAGGGCGCTTGCAACAGCTTGAAAATCTACGGATTTACCAAAAGCCAAAGAAAATCCCATGAGACACTGTCTTCATCTGTTTAGAAACAAGGTAAAAGCCTTCACATTTCTGTAAAGTATGTCAAAAAAATCACTACTGTTGCCAAGCTTGTTTCTGTGCCACACAGTAACCCATATAGATAATACTTTTGATCACTTTTATCCAAACCCATATTCTAATATAACACTATAATTAAAGGCCACAGTTTCTGGCAGAAAGCCAGAAATTTGAGAGATCCTTTGGTCTCAGTAATTTAATCAGGATGTCTATTATTAGGTTCTCTGTTCTGGGTGAGAACCATTCTTGCAGGCAGATGTTACAGGATTTGAGGGAAAAAAAGTCTACCTGCTTTAGAATATTCTGCTCTCTCATCAGTTTTTGTCGTTCTCTATTAGGTTTAGAAAACACCACTTCAAGGACGTCTTGTCCAGAATTAGTTCCACCGGTAACGAAGTAGACCAAATCCTCCAGCAGTTTGGTAACAGATCTACAGAAAAATCAAAAGTTGTTAACACAAGATTATAAAATCCCTCTGTTAAAAAATGACAGTATAAAGTTATATGGATTTAAAGGGACAGAAAAACATCAACTGGACTAATCCAGATGTTGGGAAAAAACTCATAGCCTTCACCAAAACTTCAAAATAGAAACAAGTGCTCTCTATTGCTATAGCTTTAATACTGAATAGCCAAACTGTGGTTAAGTAACCCTAACCATTTTAGGACAACTACAGGCTCACAAAAATCTACTTGGCAGTTCTTTTAAGCTGCCAAAACATAAGATGATAATATCTCCAAGGTCAAAGAAAACCCATTTGCTTTGGGAAGCATATGGGACCTAGCTTTGTGCAGCAGCCTGCATACCCTCTTTGTGCAGCCATGTACTTTTCACATACATTGTCAGAGGATTTGCAAGAGTCATGTGTTCAGTCTTCGCAAGATGGATTATAAATTCCCACAGACATTTTGCAAAGCCCTCGGGGAAGGCAGGCTATGGATTATGCCTCCAGGGTTCAGAGCAGTAGTTTTCATGCTCTCATTTCACACAGCAACAGTGAGGATTTCACAGAATACGGCTGGAGAACCTCCAGTACAGACAACTCAACTACAAAACTATCAAAATTATGTATTCAAGGAGTAAGGAAAATCTCTCCTCTGAAGAGAATGTGCACACACAACTTCACAGGAACAGTTACTGAGCAAAGGAAACAGCATTATCTGTTCCTAATTCCTGCATCCTTACCTTCTTTCATTCTGGGTTATTGTTCCCTTCTCCAGCTTGCCAGCAATGGAACCTAAAACCTTGCTTGCATCATTTGCAAAATCCAAGTCCCGAACCTCTGCAGGAGAAACTGGTACTATAGCAAAGGCTTCTTTGTCCTCTTTCACTGGAGAGGTACCAATCTAAAATCCAAAGCAATTTTATTATTAAACCAAAAGGCAGAAAACAAAGTAGTGATTCACACGCTCAGTATAATTAAAACTGAAGAGCCATGCTCTGAAACAGCCTCACTAAGACTACTAAAGTTAAATTCTGAGAACAGCACTTTTCTATAGGATCTTATAAGTATTCCTGAACCAAGAGACAACATCAGATGAGATAGGAAAAAACTTCATTAAAGCATTACATTTCGGGGCATAATATTTTGCACAGACACTCCTCATTACCGTTACTCTGCTTGGCATTGACAAACCTAGAAGACTGTAGGTATCAAGGGACTAGCAGTTCTACCAACATGAGCTTCAGGGAATTACAGGAGATAACAGATGCTACTTAATAAAGTCATAGGACTTACTTTAAGCATCACAGGTTTTTCTTCCTCTTTATCAATAGGGATATTGGTACTATGAACCCAAGTGTTAGTGCAAAGGTGTCTGAGTCTGACATAAGAGTTCCTGAAAGAAAGACAATGTTTCAGCACGAGACAGTTTCCCAAATAGGAAATCTTAGGCTTATTAAAACTCCAAGAGAAAAAGAAAGAAGGATAGAAAAAAAGACGATAAAATCTCCTCCACGTTTTGCATATGTTAACAGGAACGAGATTCCTTCCTCTTTTATAACATATATTTATCCAGAGTAGTCCTTAGTTACCCTTTATAATGAAATCAACTCAGATGTAAATTAGAGCTATATCTGTGTTAGTGCAGCTTGGATGTCACTTGACTTCCAGGGTCTGCTTGGGGTCAGGGGAAGGCTGGTAACAGAGACTGCTCTCAGAAAATTGTCTTCAGAGTGAAAGAGCCAGAGGTACTCAGATAAAGCACAGTTTGTGGTGGCAAGAAAGTTAGTGAAATTCACTGCGACAGAACTGTTTCATAAAAGGCACAGTAAACCCAGCAGACAGATGCACATGTGATATAGATACATATAGATGACTATCACAACAAGTATTAAAGCATTATATATTAGCAAGTACTAAAAGGCAAGTTAAAAGACCTTACTGAACATCACTGGATGTTTGAGACATTTCAACACATTTGCTGAGGTCAATCTAATTCATATTTCACAGATAACCGTGTAACAGAACTATGAATATTAGCTGGGAAAGGTCAAAAGTAGGAACACTGCAGGAACTGGTATTACCAGCAATAGTGAACAATAAAAATATTGTGTCAAAATCATATATATGACATCATCTGTGTTCTAACCTTTCTGTTCTCTGTACTGAATCTGTAACTTGATTAAATAGCAAGTTTTACTTTAAAATATATCTCCATTTGGAAAACTTGCTCTTAGCAGTAACAGCATTTGCTGAAGATCTGCAATATCACAAACAAGCTCAAAGTCCTAGAAATTGCATCATGTTCCTGGTGGTTAAGGAGAGGCCCCATGCCTGTGAAAGGATTTATGCAGGTGCTTTTTGCCTTTGTGAACTTGGGACATATGAACATGGCAAGGTGCTGCAGGAGCTGTGTGGCTACAGCACAGCTGCTGCGCAGCACCTCCTGCTTGTCTTTAACAGCATCTCCAGTCCCTCACATTTCTGCGCTACTCCGTACAGCCGGACTGTTGCTTCTACCTGTAAGAGGGTATTTCTATTAAATCCGTAACTCCCTTCTCTATTTTGCACTCCCTGGGCTGGGAAGTTGGGACTAGCTGTACAAGTGCCCGTGCTGCACCAGCACCAGAGGCTGTGGAAGTGCACGGGCACACGCCTGGCATGCAGTAACTTTTTCTGACTAACACCAGGGAAGCTTGGCTTGTCTTTCAGCAGCAGCTCCCACCTGGAGGTCCCCAAGTACAGCTGGCAATGACACTGTTGTGCAGGTACCAGCTTTAGGATAAAGCACATCAAGCTGCAGCTGAACAAGCATTTCAGGCCACCACGTGAGACATCTCAGCCTCAAGGAGGCAGCAGGCGGTCAGCACCGCTGTGCTTGGTGGCCTGTGAACACATGCTAGGTTAATGCATCTGATGATCCAAACGCTCACTGGGAGAAATTGAGTGGAACAAGTTTGCCATGCTTCTGGTAGGGGCACACAATGAAAGGAAAAGGTTGTTTCTGCTCAGTTTTCCCATCCGTAACATGTTTTACCAAACAACAAGACAAAACCAAAACCCACAAAAGCGAACCCTGGAACCACTGAGGCCGAGAGCCAGCTCTAGCAGGGTGCTTGGCTGTACCTGGGGACGAGGCTGTCTCCTCCCCGCAGCGTTGTAGGGTCCAACTCAAATATGGAGGAGATATCGTTTCCTTCGGGCACAGACACCAGCGAGTAGGCCATCTTCTCCTGAGCGTCACGCAGGCCCCTCCGGGAGGCATCCTGCTCAGGATCCAGCTGCGGAAGGAGTCCCACCACACAGTCACACCAGGCTCTGCACACCCAGCTGTCCAGTGTTAAGCAAACACACCCTATGTTTTGGGACATAACCCTGAGTCGCTCCAAGTACTGATAAGGATAGCTCTGCTTTAGGACGAAAAGCAGACAAGGAGCTGCTCTTCCAAACCTTTCTCTGCCTTCCCTAGTGCTGGTAACTTCTGAGCACTTCTGATTATAAGCGCAATAAATGCTCAAGAGCAAAGGTTGAGTCTGGCAGGCTGTGCCAGAAAAGACTCAAAATCCCCTGGCCCTCAGCTCACACTGCACTGGGAATTTGACTAGCTTCACATCATCCACATGTGCTGAAACCCCCACCCTGCATACTGCTGCCTTTTGAAATACATTTAATGCATTACTTTGTCAGGGTGGTAACTGCAGTTTAGTGAGCTGCAAATATAAACACCAGCAACAGCACTTGCAGGCAAGTCTGTTGGTACATAAACTTCAGCAATAACAACGGGACTCGCACTCGTCAGCCACAGACGCTGGCGCAGGAGCTGCCCGGGGAGGCGGCCGCCTCGCTGCTCACACTGCAGCTCACGATGCACTCAAACATACAAATGTGCTACAAAGCACACTGCAACAAAGTGTGCCTGGAAATCACCAGCCTCTTACCAAAGTAAAGATATTAACATCACCTGCTTGACTAAATCCTTGGATTTTTTGACAAAAGGACAAGTCAGAACAAAAATGAGCTGGGAAAAAAGAATCACAACTGCTGCCAAAACCTTTCCCAGGAAATACTACCAGTTAAAACTAGTCAATCACATAAAGCTGCTAATGCTGACAAAATAAGGTTGGCTGTCCATGGATAAGCACTGAAAACCTAGATGCAGTTTCTTAAGTGATTAAGCATCCAATTTATTCGCTTCCTCATGATCTTGGCACTGGTCAAGGTAGGCACCCGAAATAACTACTGAGGAGCCAGCACTTAAATACCTGTCTTCGTGTAAGGCACTGCTATATTAAACATATAGGAAAGCTCCATAGTTACTTCTGCCTCGGAGTACCCCGCACTTAGCACATTTGCAGTCAGTGAACTTGGCTGCAAAGCAATGACATTTAAAGTCTTTGCCTTTGCACATTGGAATAAAAAGTAAGCTATATGGAACAGAAATACACATTGGGAATGTGCCTCCAAAAGCAGCAGCAATGCACCCACAGGAATCCATCTGGAGGCTTCAAACTAGGAGAAACTCACTCACTTGGAATGAGTTCTCACCTCAGCTGCCTCCTCCATTCCTGCTATACAGCAGCTGCCCCACGTTCACCCTTTCCAGTACCTGGGACAGCCTTTGCAAACCCTTTGGCACATCAGCAGATTAGTCACAGAAATTGAGGGAAAGCTGGAAAAGAGCAGTAAATCAGGAAACTGGAAATCAGACAATCTAGGGAGATCTACAACCTGAACCCCCCACAAAATCTACATTCGGTAGAAGGTGTCCCCTGCAGTGAGACAGGCTGCTAGCTGCTCTGTCGTCCGAGTGGGCTCAGTCCTGTCCTGCCCGCAACACGGAGTTGTGCAGAGACAGTCGCTGGCTCGCAGACAGCTCCCATTTGACTCAAGTTATTGCAGCAAAGCAGGAACAAGCAGCCCACACCATCTTGTCACTATTTTCAACTCTGCAGGAACTTTATGCAAGAAGTGGATTATATGCTTCTGGTGCTGCTCCTCATGGTCTAGTTTTGCCATCTAGTGGTAAGGAAATGCAGAAGGAAAAAGTCTGCTCAAGTGTGAGGCCAGGGCAGTCTCGTGGTTACTGCACCTACTGCAAGTGGACACTGGCATCAAACTGGAAGGACTGCTATCTATTTAAAAAAACTTTCACACAGATTAACCTTCAGAAGTAAAAATACAACAGTATTGATTTATTTCCCCCCTGGAACAACTGCCTAAGATTTTTGTTCACATTACTTCTCATTTTTCCAATACATTTACTGGAGTCAAGCTGTTAAAAGACCCGTGTTTGCTGCAAACTGCTACTCAAGAAATCACCACAATAACGGTTAACTATCTGGGGATGAAAGTTAGCTTTTTAATTGGTTGGCTATCTGACAAATCCTTTTAAGGAGGAAAATTCCTCCCTACTGGACTTTCAAGCATCACAGCACGCTTATTTCCTTTTTAAAAGGAAGGGATGACTAGTTCTTTCTCCATTTCTAAATGGAGCACATCTTCTGTAATACAATCTAACCACCAAGAAATACAGACTTTTGCATAAACCCACGATCCAATCCAACTAAAAAAATTAATCCAGAATGCAAAGTGCTGTTCCAATTCTACCTGCTATCAGCCCTTGAAGCAATGCTGTTTCCTACTGACATCAACAAGAAGCCCCTATTAGTATTAATCATCAGCATCAAGCTCAACATTTACTGAAGAGGACGCAGATTTGCTCTCACAGGAAAACCAAAAGAATGGCATTAAAATCATTCTTGCCCTGCCATTCTTGCTCTTTAGTCCTTTAACCAGGGCTTTCCTGTGACAGGCTACAACGAGAGAAGAAATCCATGTATTAAGGAGGTCAGATGACTGACTGGCACAGCACTACAGGAATACTTGCCATGTTGGGTCATCTTGAAAAACTTGCTTTTCACACCTATGGAAAGAAGATGCTTCAAGGGAACAAAGGTTTATGAAACAAGGAGACAGAATGAGAGATGATACAAAGAGCAGGGGTGGAGGTCCAAGTAACATTTAATATTTGTTCAAAGTGCATTGCTCTTCACTAAGACCTGCTCCAGAGCTCAATATGCACTCTTTCTAGAAAGGCCTTAAAAGTCTTCAGATAATTCTTTTTTTTTTTTTTTTTCTCCCAATTTTCCTCATTAACAAAAAAGCCTGGCCCATCTATGCATTGGCCAAATAAATAACAGGGCCTGTGTCAAGCCCTCCTCAATCAGGGGCAAGATCAGACTCTTGCCTATACTTACTGAGGATTGACACTCCTGGTCATCTTCCTCATAGTCAGGGTTTACCTGATGAAACAGAATCACAGGCATGTCAAAACTCTGATAGACCTGGAAGTGGGAAACACCCTCAGCAAGATCTAAACTTACGTTGTAAGAGAGGCAATTTTTTTTCTACTGCTACAGAACTACCAGACATACAAAACCAGTATCTATGCAAATGGATTCATTTTGAATTGGACAACTGTCTGTCCAGGAATTAAGCAATTAAGTTATCTGCAAACATGCAGAGAGATTTAACTAATTCAGGATAACTCTTAAGATGTGGAGTTGAGGTTTGTGGGACTTTAATTTCAAATGAAATTTTAAACTAGCTCTAAAAATTGTTATGACTTGGCAAAAGCCTCTTAGAACAAACACTACTGTAACCATGGATCAACCAAGCAATCTCCTTGGCTACATTTTTGTATGATGCAAGACGACGGTTTTGTTTTGCTTTAGCTAATTAGTGAACCCAAGATTTACTGAAAAAGCTCTATAATGGATCACTACTGAAAAGAATTTCTGTGCGCATGCGACAGTGCCATTGGTTCACAATCTACAAATAAGACTATAAAATGTGATGTTTAATCTGGACTTTTTCTACTGAAGCTCTCAAGTCAAGAGCATGGCCCAAGACAGCTGTTATACCCTGCTAAGCACTCTCACATCCAGGGCAACTTTTACTTAAACAGAGTTGTGTATTGTTATGTGGATACATCTATGCTCCGAATTAAACAAAAACAGTTTTAATAAATATTTAAAAGTGGTAAGCAGTAAAATCTAAAGCTACATCCTTCAATTCGCTGTCAGTCTTTTTTTATTTTTAATACATCTTGAAATTTTGAGGATGGGCAGGGAAAAGAAGAAACTCCACTGAGAAGAAAAAAGCAGACTTGTTTGCTTTGCACTTCAACACTTAAGCTCTACTGACAATTTTATAGGCTAATCTGAACCTTAGCTGCATTTCCATTTTAGTCAGCTCAACAATTCCATTTAGAAATCATTGATCTGGGAGAAACTAATAGTAGTTAATTAATAAATTCATCTTTATTTCTACTGCCCACATGACAGGAAAGTATTTATGGTTTATTCTTTGCAAGAGAAGAGTTTGCTTCTAGAATTCATCTAAGAAGTGCAATGAGCTCAATGCTGTCCCTGTATTGCAGTTCTCTCTTGTTTTTGCTTTTTGATTCCTATTTCTAGTCATCTACTTCTGTATTAAAATTAAGGGCTCAAATACCTCTCTCCTTCCCTGTTTATTTTTAGCTTGGGAAATTCTAAATTTTCAGAAAACACAGAAGAAAGAAAATACTGTGGAAGGAAAGACAGAGTTGATAAAGGAAACTTCCAGCACCTACCTCTGCTGCTAAGTAGTGTCCAGTAGCAAGATGTTTGAACCTAAAAAGGCTGTTCCAGTATCCTGCACCACCACGACAAGGATCATGCTGCACTACCTGCAAGGACAAAGATTTTCACTAGACACCAGTGACCTTTTCAAACACTGTTGGGTTTCCTCAACATTTAGGAAGAAATAGAGAACTGCCAAAACAACCCCTCCCTGCCCCCACCAAAACCTTAGAAAGTTTGGAATTTAAGTGACTGATAAGAAAATTATTTTGTAGGTGCCTCTGTCCCCTTTTCTTGGTTGTCAATAGCCTGTACTTGAATGCAATCTGCTGTGGCATTAGAAATCAGAACTCTTTTTTGCAAAACGATAACTGAAAGCACAATAAGAAAAGGAATTCTAAGATTAAACTTCAAATGCCAGCACGGCTTACGCTTGAAAAAAATCCAAGCAGCAGTCGTTATGACACAGCTTCCCCCGGATTGGTTACAGTTCTTACCTCCACTTCCCACAGGGCTTTTGAACTCGTTGCAGAAGTGGCCGACTGCCTCCCCGTAGTTCTCAGGAAGACGTGCTGCTTCTTCCTGTGCTCGTCACAGGTCAGAAACTTCTCCTGCTCTGCATGAAACAGCCTCACCACGTCCCCCTGCCAGGGCCCAGAGAGCATGATCAGCACAGGCATCAGGCATGACTGCACAAGCATGGCTTTTCTTTGACTCTTACCCCTTTGAGAATGTCATCTTTATTGTCACTCCATTTCATAAACAGGACTATTTTCCAGCTTGTATTGCAATTCACAGAGTTGACCTAAAAGAAGAACTAAGACTATTAGCCATACTGAAAGTGTGCACATTGCCTGCTTATTACAACTTTACTTTTTACATTTTTTCAAATGAGTACTGCAGCCCCTGTTATATCATGCTAGCAAAGGAAGTCATTCCCACGCTCAGTTCCCAAAAGCTAACTACAGAATTGACTTATTAGGAAGCAACTTGCTACACAACATTGTACCACAACTATCGGATCTGAAAGCTATTATTTTTATCCAAGCAACGGAAGAGATCAAACTCAAATCCTTGCCTAGGGCCCAACAGGGAGGAGAAAATCCCAGTAGCTTTATCCAGGTGCTGCGTAACCAGATAACCATTGCAAAGCAGTGCCACAGGGACCCCTCAGTAACTGAGGACTCCATGTTCATCAAGCACAAGTCCCAGCAGCTCAGCTGAAACACACACTTGTTGCGAGCTCCTGCACTACCAGTTCAGTCGTTCCACCCTTACCTCGTTGCATCCCGGATTATCGACAAGCTGGTGACTACTGGCATGAAGAGGCTGGCCCGCATTGACAGGATTCAGGACGACTTTGTCTCCAATGACCACCTGGAGATAAGCAGCTGTCAGATACAGACTTGCAACTAAGGAAAGCTTTATTTATTTAATGGGAATGAGAGGAGGAAGACATCATCTTGCAGGTTGGAGGAATACCAGTCTGAGTGTGAAAACTGGAATTCTAGTGCCTCCAGAATTCAGTTTGTATTCGATCACTCAGGCAGGAAAAGAAAAAGAGGTTCAAAGAGGCTCAAAACAATCAGAGGCTCAGAGAAGGAAGGAACACAGCCTGCAGTTTGGTGAAGTAACTCCTCTGTTACTTTCCATGCTGTTGTTTCACTGGTTACCATTTACCAAATAATTCCTAAATCAAAAGGTCAGCCAAAAGGCGGGGGGAAGCCTTCTCTGTAGACAGGAATTGCTTTTTGACCAAACATTTGCCAATCAAAGGGATATCATATTATCTATATGATAATATGCAAAACCTATGGTGCTAGTCTGTTCTATTGTTGCAACAAAACCTATGGTGCTAGTCTATTCTATCGTAAGATCCTCTGTGTTTAGGTGCCAAATATATGCCTGGGCAATACCACAGAGCATACTGAATTTCATGACCTTTCCTGCTTTTAGGCAGGAAACTCCACCAAGGTGCCTCAGAGCTGTATCAAACAGATGAAGGGATTACAGTGGCAATGCATTCACTTCAGAAGTAATTACTTTCCAGAACTACCACAAATGGGGCCATTTCATCTCATTATCTCATTCCTCAAATACAAAATCATGATGGATTTTGATTCAAAATTTACAGCACTGAAGACCAAGAGGCTATTTGTTCTAAATCCACTGAAGCAACTCAGCATTTCCTACCATCTTGAAGCAGAAGGAATTCTGAAAGGCTACTGCAGTTCCCTTATTCCTTCCAATGTTAAATCATTCCGTTTCCAAAATACTAGTTACCATAGCAATGTTCCTCCTCCTCCTCACTACAGCATAGGGAAAAGGTTGTTGCTGCAACATTATCCACTAAGAAAGAAATTTTAAAAAGCTGTGCATTTCATTAATTGCAAGCGAGAGCTCCTGAAAGAGGCTTTCCCAAGGCTTGCACAGAACAGTACAAGGAGATAACAGCTCTTCTTGGCACTTACACTGTCTCCAATGGAGCGCAGCTTGTAGAAAGGCTGTATATAGAACCAGGAACCTTCATTCCCAGCTTCATCCAAGGTCACTCGCATAGCATTCTTCTCTAGTAGAGCTGGAAGCCTCTTATTTACTGTCAAGTATTTGTTACTTTTTAAATGAAGGAGCTAGAATAAGAATTAGAGTTCAGTTCTAAGAATGCTCATACTTCTTCCCCTCAACAGATACTGTGTATATATGACAATCACAACAATACGCAGAAATTTAGACAAAAATTAAATGACATAAAACAAACATTATGATGAATTCTCATGATTACTCACAGCACACTTCTACTACAGGGGAATACGGGCAAAAATCTGGCACTTCTTTTATTTCTGGTGCCTGCTGTCATATTGACAGAGAATGGATACTACCATCTTTTTCTCTTCATATAATTAAAAGCAGATGTCCTACCTCACACACGCAGGACAAATGTGCAGTAATTTAAGGCTCAAAATGCTCAATAATATGCCTAAAGGTACTCAGTGGAGGCAAGTGTGTTCTGCTTTCGGGTGAACTGCCACCCATGGAAACGGTGGTATTTCTCCTTTATTAAAGGCATGTTTTTCTTTCATTGTCCAACTATTGCATTTGCCATTTTTTCTTGGTTTTGATATGTGATTTCACCTTCTTTTCATTCCCTGGGAACTAGCAAATTCTTTGCTAATGTGGACTTATTTCAATAGCTTGGTTCTCCTGCTTTTGTTGATTTGCTATTAGTATCTCAAGATTTGACCATCTGAAATAACATTTGAAACAACTGTGTTCTATGTGCCACCTTCCAAGGGGCCAAGTGCAAGAAAGGCACAGAAGAGAAATATTTCTGAAGAAAGCAACTACATGGTGACCTCAAAAAGGGCACAATTCACCTATAATAAACCAAAATAAATGAAGAATAACTTTCCTCAATGTCTTCACACAGCTCATGACCATAAACAGACTTCCTGCTTGACAGGATCACACTCGAGGACACTGTCCAACCATGCAAAGCTACGTGCTCTCATCTATGCATTTCACAACTTCAAAGTCAAATTGAACAACGGATTTTGCTCAAAATCCTATATAGCTTCCGAAGATGCCCAGAACCTACCTGGATGACATTGCCGTACTGGATAACTGTTCCTAGCAGCTTTCTGTTCTCAGTTTCATTCTGTTTCTTTTCCAAATCTGCTGCATGCTGAAATGAGAGGAGAGTAATTCTATCACTAGCTGTTTTATCAATAGCATGGTCAACACCCAAGGCTCTGTAAAAGTCACAAAACTAGAAAAAAAGTGAAAAAGTGAAGCTGCTTATCCATTTTCCTTCCTGAGCTTTGCAGGAAAACAGAGCGTGTTAAAAGATCCTACAGACAAAGTGGCAACAACAAAATCTCTTTTCTGACTTGAAAGAGACACACATTTTGACACATTTTTGAGTAAATTATGAGATGAAAAGCTCTTATGAGAAGACAAGCCCTCAAAAAACAGAAACATCCCAATGTGTGGAAGATAGAAGGGTGATTATTCAAGCCAGGAAGTCTAGGATCCTTTCTACTGAATTACATACGAAATAAAAGGAAAGGACCTCAGATTTGAGCCTTGATTTGCCAAGATACATCCCATTTCTTCCATATTACTTTACAGTAACTCTTCCCACCATCATTTAGATGGTGTTTACATACACCCACCGGGAGTCCAAAAAATTGATTTCCCAACTTCTCCATGTCGGAAGTTTCACCTCTCATTAGCAGAGGAATCTCTGCGCTACATCAGTAAACCAATATGGCAAAAAAATGAATGACCATAGTAACAAATTGTTCTATTTAACCTACCCTAGCTTCATACAACAGTCAGCTCTTATTAAAAGCACACATCTGGTAGGTACTTTGTATCACTGTTCTCTAATTCTATTTTGTATTTTAAGTTAGGTATTTAACCCAGCTTCTTTTTAAACCATTTTATTTCGTAAAGAAATTCTCTCTTCACCTGAAAGATGATTTTTTTCATTCAAAAAGACCTACATTTTCTTTAACTGATACCTGGTGGTACAGAGTAATCTAAAAATAGACTTTTTAGGAGGCTATGCATGAACACTTATCATTTCGCTCTCAGATTTCTAGGACTGAGCTGGGTCCAGTTTCCCCTGGGAGGAAGGGTGGGCAAAGTTTCTTATCTTAACTGCAGTGAAACTAAATTTCAAGACAAACTTTAGTGTAGCTGCTGCAAAGGAAGAGCTTTCTGTATACTGTTAGGAAGTTTTGTCATCTTCAGCTTACACATAATTTGCTATTTTTAGAAACTCAGCTACATATGACAGCTGGCTCTTTTTTCCAGGAAAACCTGGAATACAGCTGCTGTTAAATCCCAAAATACACTCAATTATAATTCAAAATCATTCCTTTTTATTATTGAAATAAAACATTGTCTCTGCTCAAGTTTAAAATACTCTGTCAAGAAAGGACTTCTTGAACTAAGTACTAGAAGCCCTCAACCATCACCAAGGACTTGAGAGGACTTCCATGTCTGCACTGTCTGGGTGCCAAATTTATTCCAAAGAACTTTTTCTTTTCCCTTCTGGATTCGTTTCAAAAGCACATAAGGAAACTGCCAGGGCCACCTGTGTCACTTAAGAAATCGGCATTTCTCTGGCCACTAGATGTCAGCTTCTCAAGCAGCATTGATCCCAAAGACAGACAAGTGTCCCAGATTTTAAATCCCTTAAATGGCATTAACTTAAAATAACCTGACCTCAGCATGGAGCACTCCACAGTGGATGAATTCCACCAGTAGACAAACAGATGCCAAAAAAGGCAAGTGACGAGGGATACATTTCGGATCACCAACTTCATTAAAAGTTATATGCACTGATAGAGAAATTTGATCATGGGCAAAGGCAGCAATTGCACATATGTGTTGAGCACAGCCTTCCCCTTCAACCCTCTGGACACACATTGTGCAAAACTTTTTTTAGTGTGTTCCATGCACCAATAAATGGGAAAGATGAGACATGGACCACATAACTGGCAGGAAATGAAGTTTTCATTTATGAATGAGGTACAGGACTAAACTCTTTTAAAGCCATGCAAACGCCACATGTCACCGCAGACCTGATTTGGCGCATGCTATAGCTTAGCTTTGATGTGAGTGATGCATCTTACACCATTTCCAAAAGAATTGTCAAGTAATCAAAGCCTTTCATCAAATCAAGCAAGCTGTTCATGCGTGGTGGCACATCTCCTGTGTAACCATTAGTCAGCTGTGACTAAACAGTGGAAAAATCTAATCCTGTACTTCCAAGAGAAGGGCCCCTTCATGAAATGGTAAAGTATTAGACTGCTAGGCAGAAGAGGAGGAACAGGTCCCAGCACCTGAACTGGAAACTACTGGGGAAAGAGAAGAGAACTTTAAATTACATTGTACCCAGCACAACCATAAGCTATTTTTCTTCAACATGACATGACAATATTTAAAGTACACTTTTCCATACAATACATAAATGCAGAGAGAGATCTTGTGGATGTAAATTGTCTTTTCCTCTCTACTTCCTTTATACATTGAAACACCCAAAGCCAGAATCATCTGATGCTTAAAGCTTGAAACTATATGTGTGTGTGTGTGTAGAGGGGTGTGTGTGTATAAATATATATATAAAAAATCATAAAAGAGACATGAGAAGTGAGGCACAAGTGAACAACCTTTGTGCTACAGTCAGTACAAAAATAACTTCCTCCTCACCAAGTTTATACCTCTAGGTTATAAAATTATGTTTTCAAAAGCAAAATGAGTCAAGCGCTCAGTCTTTGTGAAGCACAAGAGTACGGCAGCCATATGGCAATCAGCAAATGGCACTCTCCTACAGGGCCCATTTTGTACTTCAGTCTACAATGAGCTTAATATAGGCTTTAGGAGACTAAAAATATTTAGAATTGTAATTTTGACATGAAGTACTTTAACTATGTAATTTTAAGATAAACACGCAGTTTATTTAACTCTAAACTCAACAGATGGTATTTAAGTTACTTGGCTTTTTTTCTCTCAATACCCTCCCCCCTTTCTTTAAGGAATTCTAAAAACAGCAATCAGCTTCCTTACTGAGTTTGCAATCGCTGAATGCCAATTTTACCCACAAAAATATTAAAGTTTGCAAGCTAACATGGAAGGAATTTTGTCGCCTTAAAGTTGCTCTGGCTCTAAGCCCCAAAACCTTTACACAGGTTAAGAGTAGCTGTAATATTATAGGAGGAACCCCAAAAGAGCCACTGGATAAGCTGCTCAGGGCAGGGGCATCAGCAGAGTGAGCTCCAATGACCTGGTACCCTGAGATACCACTCCTAAGAACTGGTTCTTCTGTGCAGTTGTTTGAAGGGTCGTGTTTTAATAGTTAGTCCTCAAAACACTCGTGCAAGGCAGCACTGAGGTTAGTGCAGGTCTATGACTAAAAGTGCAAGTGGCCACCACAGCACTAACCCAAAGTCATAGAGACCAAGAGCAGGACACGCTGCCCCTGAACAGCAGGTCAGCCAGCAGGTGTTCGGCGTGGGTGCACATCTCAGAAGGGTTTTTGTATACGGATTTATATATGACACCTTTTTAGCATTCTCCACCTAACCATGTTGAGTTGGCTGCACATACTTATTTTAAGCAGTATGGATGAGCATGTTATGATCAACAGCAGTGTAACCTTGATACTTACGTGCAGTTTATTGAGCAGCACTGCATCTGTCGTGCTGTTAGCTCCTGGCTTTGCTGCTTTCCAGAACTGCTTTTGAGCAGAGTACCGGTTCATAGGACATAGTTTAAACAGGCAATCTATAAAAACACACAAAATAAACAGAGAGTTTGCTTCAGCCATTCATGATTATCTGCGTTTTTATTGCTAAACTGTCCGAACACTTCAGCAACAAGGAAAGGATTACAAACGAATTCCACAGAGTTCTCGAGCAGACAAGCGCTTTTTTGGGCAACAGGAACGTTGCCCCACGAATGATAAAAATTAACCGTCGCTGCCAAATTTCTGATGTAAGACCACGAAATTCAGAAGTAACTTGCCCCTGTCAAAAAGCCTACCATACTAAAATGGAAACACTTTTCAAAGCTTTCCCAAGCACGCAGATTCATTCTTACACATTTTCCACTTTTAGCTTTTATCCCTTGGCAGTAACATTACTTCACATGGTTAATATTAGGCTTATGAGATTTAGATTTTTTTCCTCAAATCTTTGCCTGGTTTTCCCAGCAGTAGGAAAGAAAATCGGAGATGCTTGCGTAAGAAAAGTAGTGGCAGCTGAACAAAACACCCCAGAAGAATACCAAGAAAAGGCAGAGTCAGACAGAGGATGCACAGCTCAGAGACATCAGCGGGTGCCTGCAGGGAGCAGCTTCTCTATCGAGCCCATCCGTGCCGCGTATTCCACATTCTGCCTGGACAGAGTTGGGAACGATGCTGATGGGTCTCACTGTAAGTATATTAATGAGATGCTAACTTATCGGTAATGAAGCTAAATTGGCCACATTTATTAGTTTTCCCTCGGCCTGTTGCTACGCAACCCACAAGGCAGATGAGATGAGGCTGCAGAACGGCAGAGCCCGCGGCTTGGACACGGTGCCCGGCAGCACCCCAGCCACGAGGGGACTCCGGGCATCAACCTGCACATCCCACAGCTCCGGTGCCCTCTGACCGGCACGTCGTGGAGCTGGCAGCAGGAGCTAAGGAGAGAGCTCCCTGGCTTCCTGGTTTAGCAGCACAACTTCTGCACTGCTGTCAGGCATGATCAGGTAGGTGTTAGCCCAAAGGGAGCCAAACCCACCATGACTCCCTGTCCATGCCTGCCCCAAAGCAGCCATGGGGCATGTCAGGAACCATCAAGTGCCTTTGGCAGAACAGCAAAGCCCTTTAGATCTAGAAACCCTCCAGCACTGTGAAAAAACAGTGGTGAATTTTCATTTCACCTTTGAGGGAGTCACCAACTACCTGGTTGATGACACGGGCATCACTGCAAGCCACCTGCAGCATTTACCCTGGTCTGCTCAGGTGGTAGGTCCAGGTGAGCAGCAGAAGAACAGGTGAGGAGTTGGGTAGGGCGCTGAGGATCTCAGTCACATATCTGACTGTCCTTGCAGTCCCAGTCCCTCCCTTGGAGATTCTCAGCAAACCAGGACACAAGGGAAGCAGTTGACCTAAAAGGAGGATGCTGTGAGGAAGAGTGCGGAGCACCGCAGCAGGCCTGGCCTCGGACACGGCCCCACTCGCTTCACAGGACTGCCTGAGCCATCAGCTACCCTGATTCAACACCAAAACCAACATCAGCTCCTTGCCGTGCACTGCAGGCTGAAGGGGGTGGAGGATGGAGAGCAGACACACAGCACTCAGGTGGGTTAATCCTGTTGCCATCCCTCCTGGCCCCAGAGAGCACAGTTTTGGAAGAAACAGAGGCTGCAGTGCTAACACAAGGCATAGGATTACAATTCCAAAGCCACCTAATCTCCAGAGTCCAACTGTGGGGAAGAATTAGCTATTTTGTCAGATTGGTGGGGTTTTTTTTTAAAAAAAATAAGAATAGTCACTTGTCTTTTTATGTTGGCAAAAGCTATTGCTGCTGAGGGCACATGAAAGGGGCTCCCTCCACCCTTCACCTCCCTTCGGACACAACCACTTCCCAACACGGGACCACACCAGCGAGGCGGGGCGGCAGCGCGAGCCGCGCTCCTCGGGTACGCCCTGCAAGGCACCTTGTGTTTACACACAACGATGCAGAGCTTCACAGCACAGAAGGATTCAAAGCCACTCCGGGCTGGCACTTTAAGCTAAGACTATGCATTGTAAGCAACACATCAGTTAGAAAATTTTCTATTTTTGCTTAAGCCATCAGTTCACACAATGACAGCAATTAATGCAGAACTGCATAGAAGAATTAATTGTATGCTAGATTTAGTCACAGCACGAGCATGCTTTTTTTTTCAGCCAAGAAAGTTTTCAAGTTTGACTTCATTTCTAGATAACTGCAAGCAACCCCTTCTCTTCCCTGGAGTATAAGGTCTAAAAATGCTTGACCATGTCTAGTGCCATAAGGGAAAACACAACATGTTTTTCCTCACTTTTTCTTCCGAGTTGAAAAGCTACAAATCCAAAACAAACAATAAAAAATACACAACAGATCTAATACGTTCTATGAAATCTCTTGAGTGGCAGTTAAAGATAAACTTAGCCCTGTTTGTCATTCACCTTAATTTGACCAGAGCTCCAGTTAGTATAAAATGTATTTTACCTACCCAGCAATAGGATCAAACTACATGAAATTTATGATTAAAAGCTCTTCTGATGTCCATAGGTTTATATCTTCTCAAAATTCACCATGCAAGTTGGACACCATGAGGGTCAACGACACCTCTGCGGCTAAAGGTGGAGCAAGGCAAGCACAGCGCCGCGGGCTGCGCACAACAGGCCCGGGCAGCCCGGCGGAGGCCGCGCTCGGCCCGGCCAGGGTCGTCACTCCTGACAGCCCCAAAACGAAGGCAACGCAGTGAGGCAGCTCTCGGACCCCACTGCAGCTGCCAACACGCCACTGCCTGCTCCCATCACAGAAATAAATCATTCATAGCGCTTTATCCATCTAGGAAAGCTTTCCTGATATATGAACTCTTACTGCAAAGGAATCCCAACTTACTGCATACAGCTCATTGAAATATTCATGGTAAAGAACATCCTTATCTGTGAAGGAATCAATACATTTTGTTCGCAGATCTGCATCATATACTGTAAAACAAACAAAAAAGCAATCACACTGAATGAATAGAGGAAAAAAGCTGTGTAACTGCTCATGTGATGACAAACCACAAACCATCATCAAGCCTCAACACTGAGCAAAGTAAAGGTCCTACAGGAAAAAGACACAGTGATTGTGAAATTGTGTACTTCCTCATCATGTATATGCACAAGGATAATGAATGAAGGTTATATGGACACGTTTTAAATGTGCTTTTCAATGTTTCCAAGCTAAAATCTGTACTTCTGTCAGCAATTGCCTGGCATCTAATAAAACATACTGAATAAGACAGTAATTGCACCATACACTGCGTGGATGCTCTGTCTGCTTCAACACTCAATTCCCACATAGCCCTCTGCCACCTGACACTCAAAAATACCCAACAGTACCATTTGGTCACCCTCTGCATGCACCAGCTGTACAGAGAAATAATGAAAATCAAGGATAATAGCAATACGAAAAAATTCCAGTGAAAAGACACACTTGCCAGCTCCACTACTCCAACTGCAATCCCTTGTGCTTCACCTAAATAACCCCACAACCAACTAGATGTACTTTTTTCTTTATTTAAATGGAGCTTGTTTTAAATTATACTTCTCAATGAAAGATGCAGACAGAGCTGTCATGTCCTCTCCAGTCTAAGGGCTTGTTGGAACCTCTTGAGTTTCTGCTCCACTTTGACTTGGTCAGTTACAGAGGAGAGTGTTGATCTTGCAGCAAACTCACAGCTGGAAAACTTGATGCAGCCTTTCACAGCTAACAAAAAAACCCTGTCTTGTCATCACCAGACAGGTCAGGAAGTCAAGAATCTTCAATTCCAACCCCAGGAGTCAAGTCTCGGGTTTACAGACATTGAAAGTTGGCTAAAAGCAATGCCTGATGGCAAAGTCCAGACAAAGGTCTGAATTACCAGTATCAGCTCAGCACTCCAGGCCTCACACAACCTCTGGTTTTAGGAATGGGAGAAAAGGAAGGGAGGTAAAAACAGCAAAAATCTGCTGAATACTGCCCTCTGGTCTTCGCTCATAAAAATCACATGGGAACTTAAACATCAGCTGGAGAATGAGAGTTCAGTTTCTTCTCTTCTTCCTGTGTTGAGAAGCATTTCTAAACCAGAGAAGTAACTGGTGACAAAACAGGTCTTTCACACCTCGATGAAAATTCGTTACCAAACAAACACATTTGGCCTCTTCGGTAGATCTGCCATTATCATTAAAATGGATCACAAGCCGTTATGCACAACAGGTTCTTCAGAAAAATTGTGGAAGAGCAACCATACGTCCAAAACGTACATCCTGAAGGCATGACGTTCCTTCCACAATTTGCAAAAGAAAGAGAAACCAGCGAAACAGTTGCTGAGGAGCTACTATATTTTCAATTTTTCCAGTCAAATCCCCTCAAATCATCAAGGAAAGATAAATCTACATTCAAATCACACTCTCATTTTTTTAGCCACTCGATTAAAAGTTGCGTGGGAATTTAAGCAGCATTTAGGTAGGATGCTAACAAGACTGTTACAAAATAATGCAAGAGCTGTCAAAAATGGCAAAGTTTTTTTTTTTTTTAACACAGACCTGTACTTTACAAAATAGCAAGGGAAAAGCTATGAGAAATCTATAGAAATGAAGATATTCAAATAAGTCGCTTAAAAAACCTGCTGAACATTTAACACCAACACAGTTGTTTCTTCCTCTCTTGATAAAAACTCCTTTTTGTGGGGAATTACTAAATTTAAAAGGAAATTAACGGGTTTCCACTGAAAGTTAGCAGGTTCTCTTCAGGTTTTTCTATATGTAGATACCTGATAATTCCTCAACATCAAACCCTGCTCACACTAAAAAAAATAGGATATTTTTTCCAATATCAAAACAGCAACAAAGCAGTAACAGAGCCAACAGTGATGGATATATTGTAAGTATTAAATAGAAGTTTTCCACTTATGCTTATGAAGGTTTCATAGGTTTAAGTACATTCAAAGACAGCAAAACACCAATTTGATGAAGAGATGATTTGAAAGCAACGATGACATTCTTTCCATGAAAGTAT